TAGAGAAAACATTCGCTAAAATATGGGTCATCCTCAATAGATAGAAATATCTCTCTTTCCCTCTCTCTCTCTCTGTCTCTTGTTCTGGCTCTCGATTCAGAGTCCGATTCCGCTCCACTTGTGCTCTGGCCCGTTACTTTGACGGTGAAGGGAAGCAAACGAGCATTAGAGCTGGAATAACGGAATAGCCTTCCATTTCAAATACATTTCTAGTCATTACAATAGCCATGGAAAATCTACGACAGATCTAGAGAAATGCTTCAAAAAGAGAGTGGGAAACGTGGGGCAAAAAACTTGAACAGAAAGGTAGGAAAATGGAATCAGGAAACCCAACTGTAGGCCCATTTTTTGAACCAAGTGCCTCATAATGCGATAGAAATAGAAGCAGAGGGACGGGACTAACATTTATATTCATCAAAGACAAATCAGAGATATTCCACGGCCATGGGAGATGATTATTAAATTGCATTCAGCACTTGGCCGCTTGTCCGCTTGTCCGCTTGTCCGCTCCGCTTGCAATTAAATTAAGTTGGAAAAATGAAAATATAAATATATTGAGAATGATTTGTTTTGACAAGTGCCTCAAGAATTCGGTGCTTACGATACTTGGAGTGTTGGCATTCTGTGGCATTCGAGTGGTTGAGTTCTTCAGGTTGAGTTCTTTAGCTCTACAGAGATCTTCTTCAGGTTTATTTCTTTCATTTTTCTGTTTGTGGGGCTGTCAAAAAAGTGTCAGAATCATAGAATTGTGACAGCAAGCACGCGGGACTCATTCGCATATCCCTCCAATTTAATTTCAGAAGCCAGCAGCAGAAAAGAAAAGAAAACGAAAAGCACAAATAAATATACCACAAGAATTAGTTACGTACATACACATCGAGATGGAAATTTTGTGAGATGAAATTAGTTGATTTGTGTTTGGTATTTGAGTAAACAGCGGATTCCATAATGTTTTCAATTAATAACAATTGCCGAATGATCGCACAATGATCGGAATGATGTGTGCGGCTAAATGTATGACGCAGAATGTTTCTTTCTGATCTCCATGTGTATTTTCGCTATAATTATGGTTTTTTCATTGGTAAGCTTATTGTTTTTCCACTTCCACTTCTCCACTTAAATCTAATCGAAGAAAGATTCATGTTCGATGCAGAAAGTTAGCTCCAAAGTGGACTTGCAAAAAACAATTGAAGAAAGAGCGGAAATGCCTTGAGTCTGATTATTGGCGGGGGGAAGCTTCCTCCGCTTATAGATTACTTTCAGCAATGATAACGAATCCCATTGCCATGCGGCCTGGCCACCACTCGATGTCGTCATCGCAAGTGATTTATTTATCGAACGACACTCCCGACCACTCCCGCAATAGACCACAGCATAGACGATCCCCCCTATATATATATATTTTTTTTTTGTATATTTTATTTTGCCCATTCAAGCATTAAATAAAACTATTTTTACCCCACAATAAACGTCACCAGATCACGCTCCATCGCCAGCGATCCATGTGCTCTGCTCTGCTCTGTTCTGTCTGCTCTTCCTACTTCTCACATTCGCGAAACCCCAAACTCAATACCCCGAAAAAAGAGCACGTCCCACGTCCCACGTCCCAATGGTGTGGGAGGGTCTTCTTCCTGTGTCATGTGTCTTACATCAATCTAATTGTACGTTTCACGGCATGCGGCATACGGAATACGGAATGCCATGCCACAAAAAAGTTCTAGATGCTTTCGCACGTAATTGGAATGCGAATTACTTCATTTTCTATAGATTTCCCGTACACATTTGATGGCCCGAAAAGCACAAAAAGGCATTAACGCCGCATTAACATTTCCGGTTTACCAAACAAACCCAAACAAAAACCTCTGCTTACTACGATTACAATCCATCGGCTAAGCTCTCCCTCCGCTTCTCCCTGTCAAATATGATTTCCCAAAGTTCAGTTTCGTTTTTTTTTTTGTTCACTCTGAAAAGAGAACACGTGTTTCCTTAGGCTCGCGCGATGAACTTCAAACCCCAAAGACACTCAAGCAAGGTGGAGAGGGGGAAAAGCATTTCAGCATTTCAGCACTTCAGTTCGTTCGCACCCCGAGGTAACCCCCAGAACCAGAAGGCATTAAACTCATTATGGAAACTTGTTTTAGTGGTGTGCTTGTTGGGAATGCGAATGGGAAATGCTCGTGCGACTTATTATGGGTACGGGTTACGGGTGCGATTATAGCCTCCACCACACAGCAGTTTTCGTCTCTGGGGGGTTGCCTGCCAGAGATCTTGTTTTTGGGGCGCACACACTTCCATGGTGATTATTCTTTTCGGAAACTCCATGTGCCACATCTGTAGCTGTATATCTGTGTGTGTGTGTGTGTGGCAGACACGCATGCGCTGAATGCGCGCTGTCATCATTGGGGCTGTTGCCATGCGCAGAGCCAGAAATCGGTGCATACCCTTTTTGTTTTGGAGTTGAGGGAAGTTTCTTCTCGTTCAAGCAATATGCGCAATAAATAGAGCAGTTCTCAGTAGCAAACTGGCCTAAAAATGTTTTTTTAGAATCGTGAATGACCTTTTTTTCCTTCATTTGTTTCGCTTCGAAATATGATCCTTTTGAAAGTCTAGCGGATGCCTAAAAGTGTATCTCAGTGTTCGTTCCATGGTCCACCCTAATGATCCGCTTCACTGGGGCCTCCCCACACTCGCCTCTCGTCTATCTCACTCTCTCGCTCTCTCCCCAGCTCCCGTTAAGGCGTGCCGGGCCAGACCGGGCCTCGTTTCCTTTTTGCTCCCTTTACTCTTTGCTTCTTTTTTTGCTCTCTTCTTTTCTGCTGTTTTGTGTTTCCCCTTTTAGCAGCTTTGTAAGAGCTTCTTCATTGGAATTCATTCAACTTTAGCAGAGCGCATTTTGTTGCTGTCTCATTTCGTTTCTGTTGCTAACTTATGAATGATCCCAAAGATCCCCAATAAACACGATCATCATGATGATGATGATGCAGTTGATGAGTTTTGTGGCCACAAATAGAATCACGCGCGCCTTTCATTTCCGTTGCAATTTTTGGCACCCTAAACGTAAAATGCTCTCCCCTCTCTCTCACTCTCAGGACGATGGGACACACGTGCCGGGCAGCACAATGTTTTCCTTGAACTTCCAATTCACTCTCTCACATGCACACAATATTCCAAACAATTCACATTCAAATTTCATTCACATTACAATTTCAATTTCCATTCAGTACCTCGCGAGATTAAAGCGCGACATCGCCTCTCTATTCCACAATATTCCTTGCGATTCCCATTACCATTCGCATTCCCATTCCCATTTCAATTTCAATTCCATTCAGGCGCCGCCGACGTCGCCGTCTTTGCGAAAATTTCGCGATTCAATGCGCGGCGGCGCATTCTCCTTCTTCCTCCTCCCTCCCCTCGTAAATCTCACGCCACCACGTCGGAGGGGGGAGATCTAGAATGGGCGTGGCATATCATTTGAATACTAATATATTTTGCATTTGCCAAAAAGAATACAATAATTTCAAAGTGAGAACAACAAATTACACTCCACTCGATTCGAAATTCCAAAGAGTTCTCGGTTCGTGGTTCGGGTTCGGCTTCGGCTTCTTAATGAGTGAAGAGTGTGGAGGGAGGAGCGGAAGGTTTCTGCTGGGTCGGAGGAGGGCGGGGAGGGGTACGGGTACGCACATGGACCTGGCGCGCTAGGCACGAACTGGTACCTGTTTTTCGTGGCTTTTATTTGTTTTATTTCGTCTTTAATTTATAATTTTAATGTTTTGTTTTTGTTATTTTGCTTCTCGCTTTTGTTCGCCCAAAACGAGAAATTGTTCAAATTCCCCAAAAGATCTTCCATTCACAGGCCAAGCCAGTTAGCTTTCCGTCAGTTTTCCAGTGAAAACCAAAAAAAAAACCATACAGCTGGATGTTGTGCTTTTTTGTGTGCCTTTTCTTATAGCCTTTGTGTTGGCTCTCTTCATAAAGGAGACCTGCCCTTAATCTAAATGATTTCTTGGAAGCAACATGGATCACATGGCCCCGTGTTATTTACTTGTTCTAAGATAGAGAATACTCATTATTCGCGTATTATCAACATCGGTTATCGGCACAATTCCCAGTTACTGCCAGCCGAATTATAAGACATTTTGGTGAAAATTCAAGGGAAAAATGTATGGTAAAAAGATTTAGCAACAGCATCTAAAGTTCAGGGGAAAGATTTTTGGCCAAGTTTACTTAGGTTATGGGCCCTAATCCATAGAGAGAAGAGAACAGAATAGAATAGAATAGAATAGAATAGAATAGAATAGAATAGAATACACCCTCTGTGGGGTAGTTCTTACGCACAAATCTTATCTAAATAGGAAGCCAATGGTTGTGTTTTCGTGCGGTGGGGGGCTGGAGGGGGCACGTGGTCAGAGCCTGCCCTAGGCTATGCGGCGAAAAAAAGATAGCGAAAACGAATACGAATTCGCCGTATTCCGTATTCCACTTATCAGAGCGTCGAGTCGATGATGATGATTCACTGTGTCGTCATCACCGGGCCGCAGCGTCGTAGTAGTAGGTCTCAAACGTGAATTGGTATGACTCTGGGTTTTTTTTTCTGTTTCTTCTGGGTACTGGGTGTTGTTTTCTTCCCGCGTTTGCCTGCTAATCGTTCGTTTAGTTCGTTTTCAACTGCAAGTGCAGCCGGTACACGATCGTTAGCGCAGCGAGAGACAGAGAGACTAACTTTCCAATTGGATAACAGGATATAGAGCAATAACTAGCAATCAAAAGTGTCGCGTTTTGATGCACAATGCGTTTCCAACTGGAGCAATTCTTGCAGTTTCATTTGCGAAAATTTTGTAGGTCAAAAAACAAAACAAAACAAAGCAAAAGCCAAAAACTAATCACAACTTTTGCTCGTTTTTTTTCTTTTAGATGACAAAATGCAACAGCAGTGTAATCCTAATAACAACAACAACAACAACAACAATGCCAATAGCGGCCACAACAATCAAAGTAATTGTGGCAACAACAATTTCAACAACGGCAACAGCAGCGGCAGCGGCAGCAAGCGCTGCCCTGGAAAGTATTCCAATAACAATTGCAACAACGGCAACATGTCCGCTTACAACAACAGCAGCAACAACAGCAACAACAGTAACAGTAAAAATGCATCCCGCAAGAATCGTTGCAACAACAACAACAATCCGCATCAAAAGCAACGCAACTTCTATGGCAATTCGCAGAAGCGAATCTTTGGAGCTGCCGGCGATATGGATGCCAATCTGAATGGGGAATCGCAAGCCCAATCCTGGCGCAACTACAGCGGACACCATCTGGTGAATTCTTCATGCATCGAAGGTGAGTGTTAAGCCAGCAAGTACTTTCCGTATACCCATTCCGGATGCACAAGAGAGTGCTGACAAAGAGAGTGCCTTGGAATGGCGCACGGTCAGCGCCTGCCTTGGTATGAATTTTATAGAAATTCTCACAAGGTATTGATGCCATTCCTTTAGGCAAGGAAAGCTCCAATGTTTTGTTTTTGTTGAGGCTACTCCCACTCGTGATTCCCAGTTGGAAGCATTGACCAACAGCGTAGCCATGAGATACACCGACACACAGACGCTGATTCATTTCCATTTCCATGCCGATTACGAGTCGCCGTTCTTTTTGTTGTTTTTGTGTTTGTTTTTGTTTTTGTTTTGTTTTTGGTTCATAAAATTCCAAGCAAATCGGGCGACCGGCATCTACAAAATGAATCACACATAAAGAAACAAATCAACGTCATCGATGGGAACGGGTATGCCAGCCAGCCTCGTGGGTTGTACTTTTCACCTGATTTGGATGGGGATTTAGCTTTGATTATCTATAAATATTTTGTTGTTGCGTCTTTGGGTCAGAGGCAGAGAGCCCGTGGGCTTCAGCAGTGGGTGACTGAGTGAGTGAGTGAGTGAGTGACCACTGAACGTTAATTAGGAAAATGCGTTTGATTGGAATGGCCTCCTTCCCACGAGGGCGCACAGAGAGATTGTGAGATTGTGGATTGACAGGGGAGAATATTCCTTAGTTACCATTCAAATGAATGCGTACTCATGCATTTGGGTCGACTATCTATCTATCTATTCATCCATCCATCCATCTATCTATACTCTTAAGTAGCCACCCCATGGGAAGGGGCAAACCTCGGTTATCAACATTTTTCAATTGACTCTTGACCACAGTGGACACACCGAGATATCGTTGGCTTACAGAGAGGTGCTTCTGCTGCTGCTGCTGCTGCTGCTGCTTTGCTTTTGCTTCTATTTATATATGCTGTCTGGTTGTCGGTCCGATTTACAGAATACACAGAAATTGCAAAGGTTCTGCTCATAAATGGGAAAATTGCAGGAAATCTTCGCTTAAGCTTAATGAACCTCAGATCGAAACGAGGCGCGCTCAAGATAGCAGCAGCAGCAGCAAAAGCAAAAGCAAAATCAGCAAAAGCAATGAAGGGGATCTAAATGTGACGCAATACTTTGTATGGTAGGGTAGGGGAGGGGATGAGAAGGGTATTCTCTCGTAGAAATACAACTAATTTTATTGGGAGACCCCGCAGCCCTGCTGCCGGCTTTAGCTTTCGCTTTCGCTTTCGTTCGACATTCCTCCCATTAAAAAACAATTCAAAATTCGCCCGAAAAAAAGATTCAAAAAGCAACAACAATAAAACGAAATTAAATAAACAAACAAAAGCGATTGGGCGAAAGAAAGGAAAGGTAGAACAACTCATAAAAAAGCCAAACAACAACAAACACAACAAAGACAACGAAAGAAAAAAGAAACCCAAAACATTTAAATGAAACTCAAATAATCAAGATAATCTGTTCAGTTTCATAATTTCATAATTTCATAATTTATGCCGAAACATAAATTTCTTTCCACTAATTTGCATTTCTGTATGTGTGTGTGTGTGTGTGTGTGTGTGTGTGATTTGCATCTGATTGATCTTACTTAGATATGTATATGGATTATTTATAGATATGCGTGTCGAATCTTTATTGGATCATCAGTTAATTACCAAGTTTATTTCCGCTCTTTTATATACAATTTATATTAATAGAAAGTATTTTATTTCTGTCAAAAATACATTCGCAAAACATAGAGAAATGTTTGCCGATTGTTTCCGAGTGATATTCGATAATTGTATAACATTCTCCGATAATCGATAATTATCGATAATTAATTGTACATGCAGCGTTAGATTCCGATAATCAAACGCTGACAGTTTTCACTTTTTAGATGTCATTTTTTGTTTATTTTAGTTGTTGTTTTTTTTGTTTGGCACAAAGCGTGGAAAAAACTTTCCAGAATTGTCGCTTTTTCAGTCGCTTTCAGTTCTTTCTGTTGTTGTTATCGTGCGTTTCCAAATAAATATGTACATACACATATGATATGTATGTATGTATGTATGTACACATATATATTTATTGTGTTATTGTCAGGGTGTGACGATGGGGCGGGAAGAAAGCTAAGACGCAATACACCTCTACGTCAACTTTTAGGGAAGGAGAAGGAGAAGGAGAAGCAGCAACAGCAGCTGATTAGCGCTCAGATTTTTCAGCGTTTAGACCATTTTTGTTTGTATTTGAATTTTAGATTCGATTCGATTCGATTCGATTTTATTTGCCAGCGTATCAGGTGTGTTATTGGTTATTACTTCTCTCTCTCTCTCTCTCGGTTTAGAGCGGCAATCAGACGTCGGGGTTCGATTGGGTTCGGGTGTTTTGGTCAAACGATGATCTACTGATACTCGCAGACACAGTGCCAGAGAATCCAGTAAATCGAGAGAATCGGCCACTTACATAACTGATCGTTTTGTCATTGATTAGCACTTGGCCGGAACCGCAACCGAAACCAAAACCAAAACCGAGACACAATCCCAACTCCCAAAGTATACCGATCGATCGGTGAGGTGACATCAGGAAACAGAAAATACTGAAAGTTGCACAACAATTTTTGTTATGGAAATTTGCACTCGAACGTTAAATAATTAGATTATGTACCTGTTTAGGAGAATCTTTAATCATCTCTGGGCTGTGCTCTTGAGGCAAACGTAACCTCGAGTTCCACTTCCCCAAAAAGACCGAAAGAGCGACCCTCCTCTAGGCAACAGTCCAGCCTGTGGCTTCAGTATTCAATTAACATTTGATGCCCTGTCATAAAACCAGCCAGCCAGCCGCTCTTATATGGCCCACAAAGAGCCATTAGATAATTGTTTTGGCCAAGAAATGAGCGACTCCAAATGTAGGAAAAAACGTGTGGCTGTGGCTTTGGCTGTGGCTGTGGCAAAGGCAGCTGTGGCATTCGATGATTGCAACCGCCAGACGCATTTTTTACGCCCCGTTGAATTTCTCACACTCGGCTCGTATTCAATGTTCAATGTCTCCTTTCCTCCCAGCGCACTCGTAATTGGAATCCAAAGGAAACTTGAACTCATTTACGGTGGTGCCACATGCCACATGCCACACGCACTCTATTGATCGTTGCAATCGTCACACACACACACACACGCGCTTGTACAGTGTGTTTCATTGATGTATGAGCTGTGACCTGAATCTTCATGGCTCCATTGACTGTTTTTTTCTTTTGCTCTAAAATAACGATATGTATCGGTATTTTTAGTTCGATAACATTAATCATACAACTTACTTCGATAAATAATCGATTGCTGTACGCAGAGTGATCGATAAGTGATGTATCCTACAACTGTTGGGATATCCAACTCGCAAATCTTAAATTGAAAAACTTTTTAGCCAGCGCTAAACATTTACGAAACGCACTGTACACACACATATTTCACATTCCTGCTCGCATTATTAACCCATTAAAGAGTGCCGCTGGCTGCCACAGACACATTTCGAGACACATATGAGACAACAATAATAATAATAATAATACTAATAATAAAAAAAAGAGTGCTCGCACTTTAGTTATTACCATTGTGATTTCAGCCCATGCTCAGCAACTTCATCCTCAGCCTCATCCTCATCATTATCATTATCATCATGTTTCGCATTTCTTTAAAATATGCGACTCCGACTCTGACTTTCTGTCTCGACATCGCTCGCAGCCGCCGGCAATAGTCAAGGTTAACATGTTTGCCATTTAAGCAACGGGCGTTTACCCAATGTCTGTGATCTCTGTGATGAGATGAGACCAAAGATCGCGAGTGATCTCGCTACCTACTGCTCGCACAACATAAGTCTGTTCACAGTGACAACCGTCAGTCGTCCGACGATCTTAAACGATCAAAAGACCAGTGATCAGTGATCAGTGATCAGTTTTGGTATTTGTCATGTACAGAAGTTTGAGAAGTTCGACCTTTTGTTACCTGTATGTTTATCACTTTAATTGAACGATAAATGTAGTTGTTAGACCTCCCCCCAATAATAGCACAAAGTGCCATAAAGATTAATCAAATCCCAGGTCTATTTTTGTATATTATTGCCGTACGTCAAAATACTGTGATAAAATGTTGTGGAATGATAAGAAAAGTGAGGAACTATTGGGCGAATATCAGGGAATTGGCTAATAATTACAACACAGCTGATTGATTAGTCTCTAAACATATTGTTGGATATTGTTTGAAGTTTTTCTTTCATGGCTCATTATTAAATCTGTGACCTCAATGCAAAAAGACCCCCACTATCTGTTGTACATATGCATAGTTTATATTTGATTAATAAAACTCATATTAGCTTACATTAAAAGCAAGCCATAGTCGGACCATAACCAGCCCCAGAGGGGCTGCCATATCTATCTTTTGGCAGGGATCGGCTGTGGCGTGGCGTGGCATGGGTTGGGATGGGATGGGATGGGAGCGTGTTATGTTCGCTCACAATTAACTATCGCGATGGATGTTTTACGAGTATTATCGTTATTGTTATTGTTATTTCTTTATATTCAAAGGCAGACTATTTTGAAGTCTCATTAAATATGCACAAGACCACAATTGCGAGTCGAGTCGAGTCGAGTAATTGCTGGCTGTGTGGCGCCGCTTTTTTGGGGGTTTTGTGTCTTGGCACAGGAAGCGCCACATAAAAAGTCACGAAGGTCAACGTAAAAATCGCATACAAAACGCGAATCAAAACCAAACAAAATGTGGGATGCTGTTTGCTGTGACGTCACAGGCATGGTCAAAGTCAGAGTCAAAGTCGAAGTCGAATGCGTATTAGGTAATCGATAAACTAATGAAATTGCGTCACTGGAAAGTAAATTCATGTCCGAAAAATGAAATGATAAAACAAATGCATAAATATAGACAGTTATCTTGACACTTGGACTGCAGCTAATTAAATGCAATAAATATATCTCTGATATGCTTTATGGAATATTACAAGGGGGAATTTCGGCACTGGGGATAGCTATGCTCCTGGCTGCTGCCAAGTCAAATTTATTGTGATTTGATTTGATTTTGCGTGTCGGGATTGCCCTGTTTTGTGGACTGTAGCTTGGAGCTGATTAGATGTTAGACTTTCGACGATCCACTTCCACTTGACGACGACGACTCACACACGCGTAAATGTGTGAGGGGGGAGGGGGGGAGGCAGAGAGGAGAGTGACAATCACGACAATTCCTCGGGCACTAGTCCGTGGCCATGGCCGCTTGCCGTTGGTAACTGGAGTAGGGACGAACCGAACCGAGCCACTGGCCATCTTATCGGTGCCCGGTAACCAAATTTTTCGTTTGTCTAGACCACAAACCCAAGCATGAAGAGATAATCAATGCTTTCGTTTTCCCCCCATCGAATTGATCAGTGTTTTTGCAGCAATTTATATGGACAACTTTGTATCTGGGAGTAGCTAATGCCCAACATTAAATCCGCATCACGAGTTTCATGCTCATTGTTTTGTATGCTTAAAGATTATCATTTTAGCTGCTGACATGCGTTTGTCCCGCTTATTTGCCTAAGCAATCTTATCGCTGGACGTTTTCGTTTTCGTTTTCGTTTTACCTTTTGAGTGGTTTTTGGCCAGGTTTTTGGCTCCACCAAAGGTTAAGGTCTGCCGCATGCAGCGAAAGATTACTCATGGCAAGCCAAAGAGTATATCCCCAAATCAAGTGGAGGACGCACACTAGAACCAGAATAATGATCAGTAATCATATGTATTTATGTATATTATATGCACACATAAGTATGTGCATAAATTTATGTATATGATATTTCAAGGCTGTTTGGAGAGTTTGTCGCGTTTGGCGCGTGCGTTAAGCCGATGGCGCAGCACTCCAAAGGCAGCGGCGATAAAGCGATGTCATAAAAGTGTCCAAATTTTGTTGAAGCTTTCGGAAGCTCTCGGCCGACAGGCCGGCAGGCAGCCAGCTAATTGTTGGCTTCTGGGCCAGATGTGGCCAGGCAGGCCGTTCAGGCCGGGCCCAAAAGTGTTGGCCACGCCCTATCTAATCGGTAACCACACGCAGCACACACAGCACTCCAAATACGTGATTAACATACAACACACACACACACACACACACACACACTCGTATGTAAACCATAATTCGAGCCAACCGATACCAGATATCATTTCTCCCCCAGCAGCAAACGATGACGATGTATGGAGGGATGGATGAATGGTTGGATTCTGTGTGCAGCTCACGTCTGGGTGCTTAGTCCGGGGCCAGCGTCCTTCGGGGACGGCTGACGATGTCAACAAACCCACCTTGTCGCCATATGATTTATCTATGCGCGTATTGAAAGTCAATTGGTGGCTCCCTGCCGAACACCGAACACCGCACACCGCACACCGCCCTCCACCATCTCTCCTCTATCTATTCATCTAGTAGTTATTTACTTCCCTTAACGTCTGTTAAAAGATGACACAAGCGCAATATAAATATTAAGCAAATGCTCGTGAGCACTTTTCACTCTATACTTTATGTATATATGTACAAGGAAGCGGCGTATTGAGGCTGACGACTGACGACTGACGACTGATGAAGTGCAGGAAATGCGAAATGCAAAATGTTAGATAAGACTGTTTTTAGGGGACATTAGAGACGTCATAGAGAGTTGTCTAGCGTGAGAGTGACACTTGTTGACACATTTCCAATGAGAGTTTATGCATTATTTGATTTATTGTAGAGAACCCCACTTAGCCGTTAGCATCATTATCGCAGCCAAATGCCTTCCCAGCCAACAACCAGAAGCCACTTATCGCTCTGACAACAGGTCAAGCCAGCTTCCCGGCCAGCTTCTACGCGTGTGACCAGCCCCCCACCATACAAAAAATATCTGTCGCTTGGCAACAGCACTACACCATACCCCACCCCACCCCCAGGCAGCAGTCGATTCCAGTCCGCCCAATAAAACCACCTGACCCCACAACAACACACACAGCCGAGCAACAGCTTGTATTTTGGCTTAATGGGAATGCTGGAAAGATGATGAGCCAAACGCGGAAGCCGACGCGACACAGCGTCTCGTAGAACGACGCAGAAGGAGGAGGAGGCAGATCAGAAAATGTGTGTAATTGTTGTAATTCCCACAGCAACACAAACACAGCCCAGCCCTCTATCCCGCAAGCTGAAAACTTGAATTAAGAATTAAGACAATAAGATTAAAGAGCCTCTGGCCTCCGTCGCACATGCCACAATTTTCAGTCGTGCGTAACCGTAAGCCCCCCCCCCCCTTCCTTTACCACTACCCCTACCCTAATTCAAAAATCCACACACGCGAAAACCTAAAACAAATTACGGAAAGAAACAAAAAAATAATAACAAAAAGGAAACGAAATGAAAACGAAAAGAGAAAGAGATAGAAATAGAGACAGAGTGTGAGGAGAGCGAAACAAAAGAAGCACGTGGCGACGGTAGATGTTGATAAGCCTCTCCCCACCTCTCCCCCGCCTGTCCACCAGCCAAGACAGCACCACGCACGAAAGCGATGCGATAGAAGCTCGTGCTTGGGTTCGTGATCGTGTTCGTGATCGTGTTAGCGAGTGTTCGGGCTACTGTCTGTGCGTGAGGGAGAGAGATACCCATGCCTGGGGTGTGTGTGTGTGAGTGGGTGTTGGTGTTGCTTTTACCCCTCATTACCTTTCCCCCCCTTTACCATTTCGTATTTGAATTGATTTTGATCTGGATTTTTGCATATCGTTGTTCGTTGCAGACAAATTCCTGGGCCAGCACAATCCGGCCCACCGCAATAGCACCAGCAGCGAGACCACCAGCGAGGATATCTGCTCCAGTCGGGAGCAGATTCACAAGCCAAAGGGTGCCCACAACAATGCCTCGAATGGGGGCAGCAACGGCAGCAAGACACACTCGAAGCGGCAGCAAAAGGGCAGAAACTCTGCACAGCAGCAGGAGCAGAATGGCCAGAGCAAGGCAGCAGCAGGTGTAGCAGGTGCAGTGGGATTCAGCAAGGCCAAGCAGCAGGCAAGTGCTGGCAAGTGGCGTCAGCAGCAGTCGCAGCAGCAGCCATCACAACAGTTGCAGCAGCAGCAGCAGCAGCAGCAGCAGAAGCGCGGCAACAACAAGAAGCAGCAGCAGCAGGGCAACACCAAGTGGTGCAACAGCAACAATAGCAGCAACGGTGCAAACAACAATGCTGCTGGCAGGAACAACATTAACATTAACATAAACATGAGCAAACCGAATGGCAGCAACAATCGCAATGTGGCCAAGCAGCTGGCCAACTCCTGTGGCAGCAGCAGCTTCTCCTCCTCATCGTCAGCCTTAAGCTCCTCGGCTGGCAGCTCGCCAAACAGTTCGCCCTATGCAAATGGCAACCGGAAGCGTGCAAGCCACTACAACAACAGCAACAACAAGAGCAACAACAACAACAACAACAACAACATGCTGCTGCAGGGAGAGATGAATGTGAACTTTCTGGTGCCGCCACTGCGGCAGCGCGAACAGCTGAAAATGGACGACCAGGAGGTAATTGAGCGCCTGCGCCCCCACCTGATCGACCAGCACCTGCTGCGTGTGTACGGCTTTCCCGTGGAGAGTGTGGTGCACGAGGGCGCCATTGAGATCTTTAAGTGTATGCCGAACATGAACATGGCCGCCGCACGCTTGATGTCCTTGACGCTGGAGCGTGAGCGGGAAATGCACTATCGTGAGCTGGCGCCTCCACCCGTTATCAACTACGATGACGGCCTGCCGACAGAGGAGTCACAAGCAGCAGCAGCAGCAGCCAGAAAATGCTTCACCGTGTCCACAGACTCTGGCAATAGTTCGCCGAGCTCCCTGGACTCCGAGTCCGGGGAGTGGAGTGGCAGCGAGTGCGGTGAGTCGTCATCGGCTGGAGCATGCCGGCCGGAGATGAAGTACTATCAGTACGCGAACAGCTTCCACGCCCATGTGGATCGCAGCCTGTCCAAGCCGTGTGCCCGCTGCAAGCGTCACTTTCTCGTGGACGAGCTGACCGGCGAGTATCTGACGCGCGAGGAGTGTGTCTACCACGAGGGCAAGTACAATCGCTACTACGACGGCACCTACGTCGGTCGCTGGACCTGCTGCAATGCCACCGATGAGGCAGCCGAGGGCTGTGTCCAGGGCGAGCTGCATGTGTGGACGGGCTCTGCGGTGGGCGTCAATGGGCCCTACTACGACTTTGTGCGAACCCAACCGGCCCCGGGTGGCTACCATTTGGGGCACACACCATCGGTGTACGCCCTCGACTGTGAGATGAGCTACACGGGCCGTGGCCTCGATGTGACCAAGGTGTCGCTGGTGGCACTCAACGGGCAGCTGGTGTACGAGCACTTTGTGCGCCCCGACTGCGACATCATTGACTACAACACACGCTACTCCGGCATCACGGAGAAGGATCTCCGCTCGGGCAATGTCAAAAGCCTCGCCGAGGTGCAACGCGACCTGCTGCAGCTGATCAGCGCGGACACAATACTGATCGGCCATGCTCTTGACAATGATCTGCGCGCCCTGCGCATTGTCCATCATACGCTGATCGATACCTCGATCACGTTTCCCCATGGCAGCGGATTCCCCTTCCGCCGCGCCCTGCGCCTGCTCACCAAGTACCATCTGCACCGGGAGATCCAGTGCGGAGATGGGACGACGGGACACAGCAGCTTCGAGGACTCGCGCGCCTGCATGGATCTCATGCTGTGGCGTGTGCGCCGTGAGCTGGATCCCACATGGCGCTGGCAGGGCTAGGATCGAGGCATGGGGTCGTGTGCATAGTTGGGCGGGTTACTCTAGTTACACGTAGTTATTATAATATTGGGATGGGTCTCTGGTGGTGGGTCCATTTGGGGGACGGGGACCCACCGCCTAGTCGATAGCCCCTAGATGTATTTTGTATTCAAATCTCAGAAGTGTTAGCGAGGAGCGGCTAACGCATTGCCGATGAAATGGTTCACAAATCAAATTAAAATAAGCACAAAATCGTTAACGAAACAAATAAATAGCAAAAAAAAAAAAGCACACAAGAAGAAAAAATTAATATATTTATATATAGATATTTCGTAGGCGTAACTTTAATCTACATACTACACACATATGTTTACATTGAGATAAACATATTGTTTTTTTTTTTTATTTAATTAATTTTTTTTTTTCGAACCACAAGAAAATGTACTGAAGTTATAGCTGTGATGTTTTTTTCACTTTCTCACATATTTACACGACAAAAAAGAAACAAAACAAAAACAAATACAAAACAAAAGCTACAAAAAAAATAAAAACAATATACAAAAAGATATATATTCATTCATATACATAAATGTATATATATTTTTGAGAGCGGAAGGGTAATTCGAAACGCCTTTCATATTTTTCGACACCAGCCACAACAAATCACTCCATTTATCACGATATACTTTTATTTTCGTTTTTTTTTCCATCGTAATTATTTTTTTTTATTTGACAAAAAGTACGAATGAAGCATCTCATATATAAAACAAGAAAAAGAAAAAGAAACGACGGAAGGAAAGTTGAAAACTTTCGAAAATTTAACTACTTTATACACAAGGCATAAATGTAAGTTAGGTTCTGCCCCTCCTCTCCCCTCCCCTCCCCTTCACACACACACACACTAAGCTTAGCTCTTGAATTTAGTTATTTTTTGTTCCATTTTGATTTAATATTTTTTTTTGTTTATCAAGGATTAACTATAAATATTTATTTAAAGATATCGCCACACACACACACACACACACACATTGATTTTTCACATTGAACTTCGAACTACTCCATTTTAGACTTAAGAGTCCCCTGACCCTACCCAAGTTACTTTCAATCCAAATCCAAATATATTTACGTATCTATGACAATGAGCGGAGCGGCACACAAGGAATGGAATTCCCAATTCGATTCGACAATTGATGTTCCTAGTAGTGGAAAGCGCACACACACACGCACAGAATGCAAACAATTTTATTTTTGAGTGTATTTTTACATGCATAATTATTAAAATAAGACTACAAAATGAAAAGGAAAAGGAAAAGATATAGGACAACAGGCAATGGAAATGCACGAGAAAAGAAAAGGAAATAAATTGAACGATTTAACGATGAACCCACACACAATAAAAGAAACATTGATTTGTTTAAAACTAAATATCACTTAAAAAGCAATTCTTGTTCTCATTAAACAATGCGTTGGGGTGGGGCATCATTTCTTTTTAGAGAATGCCTCCTAAATGCACTGATGAATCATTTGTTACATTGCACTATGTAAACGGAGTGGATTAATCCAATAGCCGATGACTTGGCCTCTTACTACATTGTCAATTAAGCTGAAACTATTTATTTACCTTCGACGAGCAGCAGCAGGTGGCTTTTGTGCTATGTGCTATGTATTTGAATGTATTCTGTTTACATATTACCACTTGTCACCTTAGTCAAGCGATCAAGATCAAACCGCAGCAGCAGCCGCATATGTCTCTTGGCCCTGCAATCGGAGGCCAATGCATTGCAGATGCAAACTGACTGTCAGTGGGGGGGGGGGGGTGTACATAGGTGCTCTGGCAGAGCTTCAAATTCGATGCGATGTTCTGGCAGTTTGCGGAAGCAGCTCAGGAGGGGCATTGGTGTATGTATGATCAGCCGCGGGCATATTTTTCCACCATTATTTGCCCAACTAAGTAAGCAGAAAGTGCTAAAGCCTGGGCCACAGCCAGGCATCTGCGTCGCAGAAACTATCTGAGCTTACATCGTGATGCTGCGGCAACAGCTGCTACGGTGTACGGAGGCGAGCGAGCATCTGATTGCCCAGATTGTCGGGGGCAAAGGTTATCGCTGTGCTTCTGACGTCAACTTTGCCTGTCTTTAGGCACTCGAATGAGTGCGGCAACACAGTCAACAGGCAAGCAGGCCAGGCCAACTCGTGTGTGTGAATGAATGGTGGCGGGGTGGTTGTGTGTCTTCGAGCAGTGAAAGTAGAAAGTGACTCAAGAGGTGGCAGCATGTTAATGGTGGATAGCTGATCCCATACCGATGATGATGCTGATGACGAAATCCCAAATGTGTTGACATACATAGAGCAAAGCAGATTGCAGATCTTTCCTCTTACCACGAAGTTCGATTGATGCTGTCTGGATTGCATTACAGCATTGTGCTCGATTTTTAATCGATTTAATTTATTTGCTTTTGCATTGGCAGCTGATGGGTAGGGGGTAGTGGGTAGTGGGTAGTGGGTTGCACTGCTTTTGTGGTTGATCCCAACCGAATCGATCCGATACGAGCCGACTATCATTTGACGGATGAAGGCGATCGACTAAATATAAATTGAATGTTCGTGTTTGGCACATTTGTGCGAGAAATCGCATCAATTGTTTTAATTGTCTGTTATATGGACAAACTTTGTGATGTGTTAGAGATACTATGTAAGTATGTACAAATGTATGTATGTACATTTTTATATATGTATATTATGCTGGTGGCTGTTACTGCTGGTGTGTGTGCCGCGCACGAAATACGAACGAAATCTATAACAAAACAAAACATTTGCCAGCAGCCACAGGTACTACATAGGTTCTATTATGCAATCGCGCACACACACACACACACACCACGAGAATCTGTTGGGAGATTCAATGGGGAAACGATGAAGATAACACTTGGACTCTACCTTTTGGCCAGACAATCGGTCTCCTCTCAATAATCGCATGCAAGAATTGATGGCAGATTACAGCTGGAGAGATTCGAACATGCATTGACATGAAAGTACAAACATAGCACACACATAAAAGGGCAACTTGAGTAACCGATTTTGAAGCCCGCATCCATCTGATCCCCTCCCACACACAAGCCTTGGGACATCCCCACAAATATCCCACCAAACAGATGTACAACAGATGTACGCCAATGAACCAACCATGTGGTTCAGTGAATAACAGCCAGTTAGTCCCATGATTCATCGTTATATTTATGCAGATTCAACTGGTGTAATAATCCCAATAAATTTTCGAAATTAACCAAAAAAGGCCAACAGACCAAACAGCCGAAACCAAGTCGAGAGTCGAAGTCTCCGTCTCCGTCTCCGATGATTCACTCATGTCAGCATTTTTCGTAAGAAGTCAAATGCGGCGTCACAAATATACATTTACACTTATGCAAACAATTATTTATTTGGCGTCACCTGTTAACCCCCGTAAGCGAGACACCCTCCCCGATCACGTTCACGTAGCAAGGCACGTAATGGCTGACGTCCTGGGGATCTATTATAGAGGTAAACACAAACTCGGAGAGGACATGGAGACTCGAGAGTGTTACATAATTGTCTGTCCATGGAGAATGCACCCCCCAATCATGCACATGACAAAGTGACTCTTCATTGGTCGATAAGTTATAGTCGCCACATCGATGACCAATGTCCCGATGACCGAAGGAAGCGCATGCAAGTATAACAGAGCCCATATATAGATGCATACCACGAAATGTTCACAAATGTCGTCATTTCATTTGGAGACATCACAGCATAAGACGATGACGTGATGGCGAGCTGCTGGCACACACAACTTGACCAAGAAGCATTTGGTTGGGGTGGCTCGGGCTCCCCATGACATAATTACCCCAAAACGGAGTTTTACATACATATGTACATATGTATGCATGTCGGAGCGGAGTATACGGAGGTAAGATGATACCCCTACCCATCCCATATTTGGAAATGTGTCGGGGAAGCTGTAAATTTCTTTCCATTTCCGTTGCCAGACGCATTTGGTGGCAAGTTGAATTGAAGTGCAATTGTTCGGACGTGTCTGTGGAACTGCAATTGAAAATGCGAATGCGAATGCGAATTGTCTTGGCAGTGAAAATGCAAATGCAAATGAATGCAGGAACAAAAAAGAGCATTCACAAATCGTACAAAATGCAGCCAGAAATGAGAGAAATTTTTGCTTTGGAATTTGGAATTTCTTTTCGGATGCGCTTCGAGCATCATGAATCATCGCTGCAGCGCTCTTTTACTGCTGCTCTCTCTCTCTCTCTCTCTTTCTGTTTCTCACTTTCGCCATGTACTCGTAGTGTGATTGAGGAAAGAAAGGGAAAGGCCATTGCATCCAGTACTCTCAAACTCTCTCTCTCTCTCTTTAGATTTTAAAACGCTGCGTTAGGAGGGTGCTTTGCTTTTATTGAGTTACATCTTCAGAGAGAGCGCGCGAGAGCGAGAGAGTGGCAGAGTGCACTGCACAGCATGACAGAGCAGGCCCTAGCAGATCGATTAGCTGAACGGTTAATTCAAGTTGAAGGCCTTTGGCGCGTCATCCGCCATGCATACATACATACATACATACATACATACATACATACCGTATGGCTAAACAAACGCACCTTGGCGGCCAATTTCATTTGAGTTTTATTCATTTTGTTGTTTCAGGCCTGTGTACGCGTATATTTACCTTGCATGGTCGCAGCTTTTCGTCGGCACGACACCCACAGTGCCAGAAGCAGAAGCAGAAGCAGAGGCAGAGCCAGAGGCAGAGGCAGAGCTACGCCGCTTTGATACCGAGACAGAAGACAGTGTCTGCGATCTGATCTGCTCTGCTGTGCCTCCATCCTACACGTGGGTCGACAGTGCCCCTGATGGCGGTTGGTGAAAGTTCAAGGCTGTTTCTCATGGGCTTTGCAACAAGTAAACATTGAGAAGCATGATAGTGTGTGTGTTTTCCATGCAGCAGATGATAAGAAAAATGTTGGAGTAGGTTGCGCCCTGGCAGAGCGGAGGATAATCATGATTCGCAATGAATATTCGCAATCCAAGCAACCAAATGTAACTCCCCAAACTGAAGTTTCACACTCCTTGAAAATAGTTGACATCAGCCTATCATTGAGTTTCAACTTCAGCCACAGCCTGTGCACGACCCTAGGCTCCAGTCCGTATATTTCGTATTCCTGACTTATTCCTCGTACTGTACAAAACTAAATAGAAACTACTAGTTATATTTTACAAAATTTCACAGAAGAAAAAAAACAAACTTTTGATACTAATTGCAAATTTCGCTAATTCGGTAAATTCGAGTTCGAAAATGGCGATAATTCTGCAGCGCCTGTCGTCTGTGAAGCTGGAGAAGTGGCAGATCGGCGTTATCTGCGGCGCACCATTCGTCATTGGGCTGGGATCGATTGCGGCCAAGAAAATATTCAGCGGCAAGGAGAAGGGGAAGGTGATTGACTCCCTCACGCCCACCCAGAAGCTGGCCCTGTCCAAGGAGGCCGTCGCGCACAAGGAAGAGGGCAACAACTTCTATCGCAACGAGAAGTTCGAAGAGGCGGTGCAGTGCTATGACAAGGCACTCGAGAAGTGCCCAAATGACCAGCTCATCGATATGGCAATGCTGCTGCACAATCGTGCGGCCGCCTTCGAGATGCTGCAGCAGTGGGACAAGGTTCTGCAGGACTCCAACGAATCTTTGGAGTACAGTCCCCGCTACTTCAAGGCCTACATCCGTCGTGCCCGTGCCCACGAGGCCCTGGGCAACATGAAGGCAAGCCTGGACGACATCACGGCTTGCTGCATCCTCGAAATGTTCCAGAACAATCACAGCATCGTGTTTGCCGACCGCATCCTCAAGCAGACTGCACACGCAGATGCCGCTGCCGAACTAGCCAACCGGCCACCGATTGTGCCCTCGCTGTTCGCCGTCAACTGCTACATGCGTTCGTTCATCAACGATCCCATACAGACCATCAGCGTGCCGTTGCGCTCCTTGTCCCAGACACCCAAAGGCTTTGTGCGCGCACAGCGGGCACTGCGCGAACGGAACTTTGCAGACATTATCCAAGGCTGCAAGGAGGAGATTGAGTCCCTCGAGGCGGTTCGCTACCGGCCGGAGGCCCTGCTTACGCTCGGCACATTCCATCTGCTGTCCAACTCTTTTGTGGAAAGCAAACGCGAGTTTGAGGCCATCATCGCCAATGCCAGCACTGATGCCAAACTCCGCGCGTATGCCCATATACGTCGTGCCACCGTCCACAGCCACCTGAACGATAAGGCCGCTGCCGAGGCCGACTTTGATGCTGCCAAGCAGCTGCAGCCCAAGAACCCGGACGTGTACTTGCAGCGTGCTCTAGTCCTGATGCCTCACGAGCACTCTGATGCGGCGCTCGCACTGTACGAGAAGGCGGTGGCCCTCGCACCCGATCACGCCGTGGCAGTCGTCAAGAAGTGCTACGTGGACTATTGTGCCACTCTCGTCGCCACGGACAATGGCAACGAGCAGCGCAAGGAGGACGCGTTGCGTCGCTTTGAGGAGGCCATCGAGAAGTTTCCCGATTGCGTCGAAAGCTACAGTTTGATGGCCCAGGTGCTGGCCGATCAGCAGGAGTTTTTAATGGCCAACGAATGCTACGAAAAGGCTCTCAAGCTGGAGCCCTGCAACCCGTCGGTGATTGTCGAGCATGCGCTCATGGTGCTGCAGTGGCGTGGGGACAAGGAGATGGCCACAGAGATGCTCAACCGGGCCATTGCGGTCGACCGCCAGTGCCAGCAGGCGTACGAGACTCTAGGCATCATCGAGGTGCAGCGCGCGCGCCTCAAGCCAGCTGTTGAGCAGTTCAACAAGGCCATCGACTGCTGCAAGAGCTACGAGGAGCTAGTGCATGCCTTTGCCCTACGCAACGCGGCCCAGGCTCAGATCAATATCACCACCAAGCTGGACATCAACATCGAGGGCATGACCGAGCTGGTCCAACAGGGGCGCCCGCAGCCAGCCACCTTATAGGGTGGTGGCTAGCCTTCGCCTTCAATTATTGTTCTCTAGTTAGTTCATATACAATTTCTGTTCTATCATTATATTTTCATTTAAAGTGTCATTTCGGTTTTTGTGAGACAATCCCTCAGACTTTGTCCGCAAATATTTGAAGATCCAGCCACTTCATTGCATCAACGCACTCGAACCCGTTTATGGAACCAGCAAAACCCCTACCCAGCCCAGCCACCTGCTGGCGGTGCCATGTGGGACCAGTCGCTGGCTAGGGAAGATGTTCGGCGGCTTTCGTGTCAAACAATTTGTGTGTGCATCAGAGGGGCGGGCGCCACATGCTGTCATACTACTTTCAAAATACATTTTATAAAAATCAAATAAGCCAATGCTCGTGGGCTGTTGGAATTTGCGGCAATTTGTCTGTTGGCACTTCAAGCTTGTGGCTTACTGTTTGCCCGTTGCATGTTGCATGTTGTCTGTTGCATGACAACAATGTATCATATTTTTCGGTTCGTTCATTACATGACGTGGGCGGCTCTGCATTTCCTGACGCTCCCAACCCGGAAGAGGAAAGCGCAGCGCAGCGCAGCGCATGATTGATACTCATAAATGGTGCTCAAGCTCAGCTCTTGCTTTCGACTGGCTTAACTGTTTGAGAATACTGTAAAATATAATTAGAATTGTGACAATTTCCAATGGGAAGCGTAGTTTCATAGTTTTAATTGCTATTGCACCAGCAGGTAAATGTAAATAGTTGCCAAAAGTGGCAACCTTTCATACATGAATATTCATCATCTGATCGATTTTATATATGGATGTGTATGTGTATGTGTATGTGTGTAGGATTGTATGCGTACTGACTTTAAGGCTTAGGAGTGTAAAGTGCATTATATATATGTATATATACACATACATACACATGATGTGGGGTATTATTTTGCATCTACATCTAACAAAACACACAAAAAAAAGAACTATAATGATAACAAGAATTAAGAAAATGAAGAGAGCCACGCCACAAACTGGCACTGAAACACTTTAACAAGCACGCTAGGCACGCAAGCGACTTTTCCTCCTGTGGCGAGTCCTGAGTCCTTAGTCCCATTCCGATGCGACTGGCCTGAGTATGACGTGGGGCTGCAGCTCCGACCTCCGTGCTAATCGCTGGCCGGGGCAGCTGTGTGCTGCTTGTAAATGATGCCAGTTATCTCTCCATTCCTCTGGATGACGCATCGCCTGTGTAGCGGGGCGGGGGAGCATTCAGTCGGTTGTCGTGTGTGGCAGTTGCAAGGGCACTTACCTATTTCCGCTGTATAGGCAGATGGTTGGATGGCGCGCCTCTGGTTGAGTCGAAACCGCACTTTTGGGCTCCAAAGCCGCCACCTGATCAGATATGGCCATGCCGATGCCAGAGACATTCGGGTTGATATCGCCTTTGGCTGTAAGGCATTAGTAGTCATCACCAGACTGCTATAACTATGTTTACATGGATGCGAAGGGATTTCTACTCACCGCCCAAACAGAGACCCTGACGATTGGCCAGCAGAGCGCCCACCGTATCCTGCTGTGTGACGCTGCAAGAAGAGGGTTGATTTACTTTTAGGTTATTAGTATTATCCGGATGCCATACATATCGCTCAAGACTTTCTCCAGTTGGGTTTCCATGGGATGGCTACACTATTTGACGGTTTTGTCGAAAAAAAAACAAAGCAAAAACCAAAACAATGATAATTAGAGATGTTAAGTAATAGTTCACAGTATCGATATGCAGGTGATTTTGATATTACCTATCGTTGCGCAGGGTATCGGTATTTTTATGCGATAAGCGTGGTTTGCACAAAATACCAAAAACACTAAAATATCCGCTGTGGGCGCCACTTTTGAGTCTATTCAAAATTGAACTCTTTTGTGTGGCTATTTATTGTTTATTCATTTTAATACGGATACAAATACTCGTAATCAAAAGAAAACACTTTTCAATCGCCAATTACAACTAATTACCATTTGTTTATTATAATTTTGCCGTCTGCATGGGAAATAAGAGTGCAAAATGTTGCGGCAATGCGTTGCGTTTTGCTAGTGTTGAATTTTGGGAATTGCTCTGTTGGGCCGGTCGTGTCTTTGAGAAACCGATCTCCGCCAATTGGACATTTAAATATATTAAAAGTAATCTATAACATGTTGTGGAATCGAATTGAGTCGAACATTTCGCGCAAAAGTCGCTTCGAAAAAAAACGTAGAATGGATTTCTAGGTGTATGCATTATGTACTATTACTCAGGCAGGCATGGCGGGACCTACACTATCTCGTACTTCTCCACAAACAATATGGATTCGCTTGAATACTTGACCGACGCCTCGCTGTCCACCTGGATGACATCCTGGGCAATGACGCCGGCATATGTCGTCTTCGAGACGAATGACACTTGCAAGGGGAAGAAGTCACCCGGAATGGATGCGTTGCAGCTGAACTCCATCGAGCCCGACTTGTTGGCGGCATCGATTATGGGAATGTGCCACTGCAGAACATGCTTGCGTGCATCATAGTTATACGTGCCATCATATTCGGCCACCGTCGGCTGTACATTCATCCTGCAAAGGCAATTCGCAATCAGAATTATATTCCACTGAACGTCAGTCCACTCCAGAATTATGGTACTCACGGCAAGGGTATTATAATGGCCACATCCTGCAGCTCCAGATGCTGTGCCTCCAGTTCGTATTCAATGTTCACATCGCAGCCGCCCTCCCCATTGTCCGAGGGCCAACAGTTGACTGTGAAAGCGAAACAGATGCATGAATAAGAGCGAGATAGCGCGGTAGGGGCCACCAGCCACTTACTGGTTAATGGAATGGCCGTCTCATCCTGTGAGACAAAGCGCCATTTGAGGACACCAACGTCGGTGTTCATGGGGAATGGCTTCGCCAGATTCTTAAGCCCAATCATGCTGCGCGCCTTGAACAGCTCCTTGTCCACATTTGGATGCGTCTGCAGCTGCAGGCCCTGTGCGTGGCTGGGGGACAGCTTCAGCAAGATGCGTCCGCATGCCTCGTCCGTGATGCGAAGGGTCAACAGGCCGGAATTCTCAAACTGCTGCACGCCGCCATCGCGTCCCAGACGCACCACCAGCTTGTCTTCAATCTTCAGATGAACGCTGAAATGAGCGGAACAGAAGCAGGTTGAAGGGTGTGTGTGGATGGGTGTGTGTTTGGCAAATACCTTTCCTTGTGAATGTCAGCGGACATGGCTGCCTTGGCCGCAGCACTGGCATTAGTCGCTGATCCAGAGCCAGTGGCAGCTGCTGCTGGCGCCAGATTGGCTATCTTCTCGCCCTCGCTCTTCAGTTGATCGACAAAGCTGTCGACATCCTTGGACTTGCCACCCAGCTTCAGTGCATTGCGCGATGATGGTTTTCTGATGATGAATGAGAAATGACAGGACCGTGACAGACAGGAATTACTTGACTGCAAGGCGAAATCTCTCCACTTACACTGTCGCCTTGCTGGAGATTGGTTTGCTGTCCAGCTCAATGGATGGCGCATGGGCGCTGCTTGAGACGCCACTCATGCCGCTGCTGCCGAAGCTGTCGGAGCTGAAGCCACCGCTGCGACCACTGAAGCCGCCCATCGATGGACCGCCACGCTTGCTGGCCTCCATGCGCTGACGTTGCAGCTCCTTGGCCTTTTCGCGCATCTTCTGGCGTGCCTCACGCTCCTGGGTCTGGCGCACTGCCTGATAAACCTTCTCCTCGTGCGAGTCCATTTCCACAAAGGTCTTGATCTGGGCCAGATTGACGCTCTCCCTGTAGCCGAGGGCCACAATCTCATCGAAGGCAAAAATCAAATTAAAAGCATTCTCCACAATCTCCTTCTCGTCCAGCGAGTGGCTGTACTCTGGGATCTACGATTATCACATAATAATAAATAAATAATCATTTATCATCTCATCCTACGGGTCACATTCCACTCACCACTTTGGAGAAGAGGCGCAGCGTTTCCAAGTCCTCCAAAATGTTGCTGGCCTTTGTGGTTATGAGGAGCATGTAGAGCTTCTCCATCGGCTGGTAGACATAGCGCACAGAGTCCGTTTCCACGTAGGTGTGCTGCTTGCCGGATGTCATCAGTTTGGGAAAGGCGGCCAGCAGACCCTCGATGCGTGCCTTCGTCATCTCCACGAACTGACGTGACAGTATGACTGCAAGTGTGTGTGGCAAGATATTGGTGTGTGTGTGTGTGTGAGCAGAGCATTTAGGCAATGCATTGAATATATTTTAAATGTTTTATGTATGTTTCTGGACTTACCTTTGCCATTCTTTGTGCAGACTGCCGCAGCAATGAGTACCTGTGGGCAGGGAATTTCGGAAAGATTAGCAACGAAAATCGCCGACGTATACGTATTGGTCGGTAGTCGGTGTGCGTGCGTGTCTGTGTGTTTGTTCGTCCGTTTCGCTTACCATTTTCGTAGCGCAGCAGTTGAAACAGTCAGCCACAGAACAAAAGAATCTTCAAGTGCCTGGCTTACGTCTGGCAGAGTAAACTACAATTAATTTGATTTACGAGACGATGGAAACAATTTGTTTTCAATCAATCCGCCGTGTAGCTGACGTGTTCGGGGATCAGTGTGACCGCGCTAGTATCGAATATACCGCCTGACACTCAAAAATATACCGAAATAAACCGTGAATATACCGAGGAATAAACAAACTTAACCTACTTAGCCCAGTTCTATTTAAATAATTCAACACATTGAGTAAACAACCTAAGGGAATGCCATCTGTTAATTTAGATTGTAGATTCATCCGGTCTCTCCACATTTAAACAAAAATTGCAATATTCGTGTGTGTTCATTTAAATACCCACTGGTCGACCATGGGTTAATCTCACTCTGTTCAGATGCTAATATCCTGAATATTGATATTCGCCTTAATATTACGAGCAATCTAAAAGTCTCAGCAATGGAAACATACATTTACCGTCTTTATGAATCAATTTTTCACAAGATTGTCTATTATTTCAGGGATTCCTTTAATTGATTTGTTTAAAAAATTGTTTTTTTACAACAGGTTGAATATTGCCAATTAGCGACGTTCACAAAATTAGCAATATTTTTGTGCGATAAGCGAAACAATAAGCGGCAACATACCTTTATTTTCAAATTAGCAATATTATAGTTAATATCTGCCCTTTTGAAACACAATAATGGTACTTGAAATGTTCTATTTAATGCTCATTCCTTTCCTTGAGGGAGCGTTGCAAGCGTTTGTTTTAATTAATAAACAATTAACAAATATCTTAGCATAATATATGAAGTATGTACAATGAAACATGTATGTTTATCTATAGCTAGTCTCCTGCTAGTTTAGGTTTGAGAACTAATCATCTAGGGTCAGTGTGGCAAGTGACGCTGTCGTTTGCTTTTCCTCTTGGTCCTTTTGCTTGGCATAGGCAGCACTCAAGAGAGTCATGACTTCCTTGTGCGGCACATTGGCCTGCTTGTACTTCTTGAAGTTGTCCTTAACGAACTTTGCAAATCCCTTGGCCTCGCCCGCCGGCTGTGACACGATATTCCCATGCTTGTCCTTTTTGTTCAGCAGCAGAGTGATTTTTCCCTGGCACTTACGACAGCGCAGATACTCCACCTTGCGAGATCTGGAGTGGGCGTTCGAGCTGCAAGAGGGGTTAGAGGTCAGACCGGAGAGCAAAAAGAACTTAAAGAGAGAACTTACTCCAAATTGCAGTTGACACATCTGTAGGTGTACTTGAAATCAATGCTGTAGCTGTGGCAGACAGTGATGGCGGGCAGGTCTGGATACTTTTTGTTGGCACGCTGTGCCCAGTTCTTCCACACTCGTCCGTGTCCACCCTCGCTGTTGAACACCCAGGTGGCGGCATGGCACAGCTCATGGATGAGCGTGCAGCGTAGCCTGTCGGCTGTCGTCAGCACCTTCACGCTAAGCTCGATCGTGCTGAGGCGTTGCGTGCTTCTGAAAGAAAAGAAATTCAAAAACGATTTAGAGGCCGAAGCAGCGGCTGACTTTAGCTGCGTATAACCAACTTTCTCTTGTTTAGGCAGCGTCCAGCCGTGTTGCGCAGCCGCTTTGACCAGGTGATGGGCACATCCAGCTCATTGTTGAACACATCCGCGTTGAACATCTTGTAGAGGCGCTCGGCCAGTTGCTCCTTGTTTTTGGCAAAGTTCTCCCTGTAGAAGAGCGCTTCCTTGTCGCTGCACTCGCGGGGCACGGCTCCTTCTAGCGATTTTAGGAAACTACATTTGGCATCGCTCCGCTTTAGTTGCTCCTTCAGTTGCCGGGCGCTCGCTTTGCCGCTGTCTTTGATCGCTTTGCCGCTGTCTTTGATTGCTGTCTTTGGTGCCAACAGCTTCAGAATCGGACTGGCCTCGGGCGTTGCATTTGTTTTCTTCACAATTCCCATATTCTTCTTGACCTCTTGCAGCCGCTTGTGGACGGGCGTGCCCGGCAGATAGTCATCCTCCAGCTCGTCCAGCATATCCAATTCCTGGGCTCTGCTCACAATCGCAATTGCCTCTTTTTCGGTCTCGTAGCCAATGTTTGGCCTGAACAAACGTCGTCGTGTTGGCCCCTTGACTGTGGGCGTGGCTGGTTCGATCTCGGCGCTGGGTTCTATGGGCGTGGCAGGTAGCTTCGTTTTCGTAGCAGCGCGACAGGAACGCAGAATATCGTCAAGTCGCCGATGAGTTTTGGAAGCTGTTTGGAACAGTTTAAAGTCAGACAATGTCGAACTGCGGCTGTAGGAACTTACATTGCGCGTCCTCATCAGGGTCGCTTATCACCTCAACCTCATCCTTGCTCAAATCCAAATACGTAATATCGCCCTTTCCATTGTTGTCGTCGGCAGCATCGCTGCTGCTTTCGGTGTCGCTGAAGGTTGCATCCGCATCCTCGTCGTCGGAGGCATCTGTGCCGCTGTCCGTGTCGACCAGGGCACGCCAGCGATCCTCATCCACATGATTGGTGCGTGGCGTTGGCTGTGGCTTCCGCTGTGGCTTCCGCTTTGACTGTGGCGATGCGGCACGAGGACGCCTCTCCGTCTGAACGGCACGCTGCGGCAAGCGAGTGGAGTTCAATGGCGTTTGATTGGAGTGCAGCGTTCGCTTAACTACAATAAACAGTGGACTCAATTATGAAGCTAGTTAGGATTAGTTACAGGACCTACATTGACTGAAATCAGCAAGAAGACTCTCATTTGGCTGGTGTACACGCGGTGCCGGGCGGCGTTCCTTCTTTTTCTTGACTGTTGTCACGGCTGTGGGTACTTGAAAGTTCTTCGGTTTGAGGTGGGGAGTCTTGCCGCCGCTGCCACCGCTGGAACGCTTCAGGGTGCGTATAACATCGGGCGTTTGCCAGGCTTTGCCGTACAGCTGATTCAAGAGATTCTCGGCCTGTGTGAGGAACTGCTCATCCTCGGAAGCGTCGTTTGTGGCTAGCATGGACTTTTGATGCTGCTCCTCTTGACGTTGCTGCCTCTGTGGCTGTTCCTCATAAACTTCTTCGGCTGCTGGCAAGGATTGGGTGGCTTTTGGCGTTGGATACGGCTCGTCATCTTCCTCGTCCCCTGAGCTCGATTCGACGGCTGGTATGTGTATCTTGATGTTTATCTTGGCCGAGATATTGATGCTGCTCACTTGAATGGCCGCTGGCTCCTCGCCAGATGATGTGGAGGCTGAGCTCGAGCTCGGTCTCGGCGGCGTTGGTTCACCCTCGCTGCCTGTTTCTGGTATCTCGATGGATACATCGGGTATCGGTTCGTCTTCGTTGAGTGTCGAATCGCTGGAGCAGAGAGTGTTCACTTCGGTGTCATCATCCGCCAGCCGCTTGCTGCTGCTCTCCACGCGCGCCGCATCCTCTGAGCTGAGCGTGTTTAGCTCTGTGTCGTCATCCGCCAGCCGCTTGCTGCTGGCCAGGCCGGCCAAGTCCGCAGAGCAGAATGTGGCCAATTCTGTTTCGTTGTTTGCCAGCCGCTGGCTGCTGTCTATCGGTCTGGATGGCATCCAGTCCTCGTCGGTTGTGGCCATCGACTCTGTGTCGGCATCGGCCAGCCGTGATCGTCGCCGGGCGGAGGACAGGGGCGATGGTGTCATCGGAAACTCTTTGTCCCCCATCTCGCGGCGTTCGTTTGAGACGTCGCGCAGAAATGCCTCAATGCGCTGCACCTGATCGTTGGTCAAAATGGGAGCTGCAATGGGCTCCTGATGTGGGTCAGTGCCCGACATGCGATCACTCACGGCCATGCTCTCGGGCGGTGGGGCCTCATCCTCGCTGGAGTCCGATATGGTAATGCAGGAGGCATCACTGTCGTCGTCATCGTCGTCGTCATCGTCTCCTCCCTCCTCTGTCGTTGACGAGATGCAAATGGATATCTCCGGCTGGGGCACCCTCTGCTCCATTGTCAAGTTGGTCACCTGCGTGGCCAGTGCCTCCACATCCACAGGTGTCTGACTGCGGCGGGGCTGTGTGCAGCCATCGCCGCTCAGCTGCAAAGCTTCCATATATTCCGAGCCTTCGATGTCGGGATGACCGTTCTCGGCGTCATCTTTGAGTGTGTGGCTTTGGCCCATGTCGCTGCTGGAGTCGCTGCGTAGCAGGGGATTCTCACTCAATATTATTTCTTCAGGCGGCTTGGGCTCTGATTCCTTGGTGCCCTGCTCTGGCTGCCCTGGCGGTTGCTTTTTCTTATGGGAGGCTAGCGTTAGTTTGGCGAATTTCTTGTTGAAGGGCACATTTACTTTGCTGGGGTCAATCGTGCTGAATAACTTATACTTATGATCCGCCATTTTGATGGCGTCGTTCGATTTAACTGTAAATTTTAGCAGAATATGCACAAAATGCAATCGCCAATTACGCCAAATACAAATACAAATACAAATACAAATCCAGTCCGCGTCTCTCGCAGCGTTGATGTTTCGTTATCGTGAATTTTTAGTATTTTCTATCGGTAGAGTGAGGCTAGATACATCGAGACCGGAAAATACGATGCTATCCAACACTTGCGTGAAACAACCAAACATAATTCAACTTGACTTTTAATTGCAAAAGGTTTAAACTTAAATATAAGCTATGGCGGCTGTTTCGTCTGCCCGCGAGTCACTGTCACACGCCCTGAACAATCGCTATCTACCCAATCTCGAGTACTTGCTGCAAGGATCCATCTTGGACTCGGCCGTCGAACATCTAATGCACCGGTAGGAGGCACAAAAACTAAATTTAATGGGAATTCTATTGAAATATTTGCAATATTAACAGTCTGAAAGGCCTTTGCGATAATGTGGACACATCGCCGGAGACATTCCATGACCTAGAGGTGTGCATGAGTCTGCGGCAACCCAACTCCAATCAGCCGCTTATGCTTCGTGTGCGTCGTGCCTTGGGCCGGGATGTCCCCTTCCAGATGCGTTATCTCGGCCAGCCAGAGGTGGACCAGCGTCGCCCCACATTGGTGCGCAGTTGCATGGACTGTGCCTGCTCTAGCAGCATTCTGGAGTTTCTCACCGAAATGGGATTTCGCTTGGAATTCGAATACATTGCCAAGGGTGAGTGGGGAGGAGGATGCAGCAAAAGAAAAAAGTGACAAAAAATATCATTCCACAGGCTACATGTTTCGCAAGGGTCGCATGAAGATTACAGTCTCGAAACTCATCAAAATCGTACCCGGCAAGCAGCAGGACATGGCCAATGAGCCAATTTCCCAGAGCTACATTGTGGAACTGTCTGTGGTGGCGCCCACGGGCCAGGAGAATGTCGGCGAAGAGATGCGCGTGTTTGCCGAACAACTAAAGCCGCTCGTGCAGCTCGAGAAGATCGACTACAAGCGTCTGGGTTCCATGCCCTAGGCCTAATGGTAGCATCCACAAATGTTAAATGTATCATTTAATATTTTATTTCTTTGAGAAACTTAATTAACTAGTCCATAGAAAATAGACATCAAAAATATAACTAACTCTCCGAGATGCCCGTGGAAATGTTAACGAAGATGCGACAGCTTTGGGGAGTACATGCAAAAAATATACACAAATAAAAAGAAGAAATAATGGACTTTTAGTTCTCATATTCGTTAGTCCTGGAAGGCTTCGTTGAGTGCGGCCAAGTTGCGATCGCTGACATGACCCTGCAGGTCGCTGCGACCCATTAGGGAGATGACCATCTTGACGGTGCTCCAAATTGATTCGGACATTTGGTTCTGGCCACCGCTGGTGGCCTCCATGGCCGCATTGGTCAGCTCGCGGGCGGCATTCGTGTGGGCCTGCATGGTGAGTGCCGTCAGTAGATGCTCCACCGCCTCCTTGTAGGCCTTGAGGTTCATGCAACAGACACCGACATTGTAGCGGACGCGAATGAAGCCCGGCTGCAGCCGCAGGGCATGTTGATATGCCTCAACGGCCTCGACGGAACGCGAGCCGTTGGCCAGACTGGCGCCCAGACGGTTCCAGGTCTTGGCATTCTGTGGATCCTTTTGGAGCGCGGCTTGATAGCAGTCAACGGCCTTGTCGAATTCCCCCGAGAGATTGTAGAGCACGCCCAAGGCCTCCTGTACGTCGGCATCCACCTCGGACGGATTTAGGCGAACTGCCTCCAGGTAGATCTGCTGAAGATCTCTCAGTTTGCTGGATCCAATCAGGGAGGAGGCCAGCGAGGTGCCCTCGAATTGCAGCTCCGGATGGGCGGCTATCAAGTGCTGGTATTTGGGATTCGCCGCCAGCCAGCTGGACAGCATTTTCACAGCATTATTTTGCAATCCCTCGTTGGTGTAACACACAGCCAGCGCCATGAGCACCTCCTGATTCTCGGGCTGTAGCTCCAGGGCACGTTTCAGTGCTGAAATGCTATGTGGATCCATTTCATTTTCGGCCTGCGAGGTGCCCAGCAGCTGCCAGATCTCAGCGCGTTCTGGCTCCTTTTTGGCGGCCACCTCAAAGCAGAGGACAGCGCTGGGAATGTCACCTTTGGTGAGGTACTCTTTGCCCTTTTCGAATGCATTCTCCAACTCGGACATGGGATTTTCCTCGGCAAACTCGTACTCCTTGTAGGCATCCAGATTCTCGTTGTATTCCGAGAGCCAAGGGTGCTCGTTCTCCTCGGCCAGCTTCTGCCATTCGTCCTGCAAGCGCTGCCAGAACTTCTCGTTGAAATTGGACGCTGTCTGCTCCTTCTGCTCGGTGCTGCGTTGGTAGTCGACGATCCAGTCCGCCACCGACTCCCCCTGTGCGGCCCTGGGCAGATTGTCTGTGATAATGGTTTCCATGGCAGAGTCAAAGAAGGGATCCTGCTGGGGCGGACCTGTGATGGCCATGTACGGCTGACGCGCCATAAAGTTCTGGCTGCTTATTAATGGCTCGTCGAAGAATTCCTGCGCCTGCATCATTTCCTGCTGCTGTGGGTGCATGTGAATCACCTTGTTGGGCAGTGCAGGGGCGAGGCCGCGAGCAAAATCCTGACTCCATTGATCGGCCTGATGCTGCTGAAGGTGCTGCTGAGGCGCTCCATTAATGTTTATGTCTCGCATCTCCTGCAGCAAGGTGTCCATTTGAAAGGATTGCGGAGGGGCAGCCACCTGGCCCAGAAACTCATTGATGAGCTGCTCATCGGGACGGGTGCCCCTCTCGAACTGCCTTTGAAGAAAGCCCTCGTCTTTGTGCGCTACATCGCGGGTGAATTGGCCGCCCAGCTGCATCAGCGGATTGACTCCGCCGCAATCGCCTTCGACCAGTGGACGCAACGACATCTTGGAGCTTACTGGAGGATATCTGGGATGATGCTACGTAACTATGAACAGCCCTCTTCTAAGATAAGAACCAAGGAGGAGGCCGGGGGCCGCTACAAAAGCAAAAGTCCAAATGTCCACAAAAGATTGTAAAGGTAATCAAGTTGCAGGTGTGCGGAGCGTTTACCAGTACTGATTACTGATACACTTTGCAGCACTGATCACAGTAATTACATATTTAGATGGTCACTAAATACAGACTTTCAAGTATCTATTATTAAGATTGGTAATTTGGATTTGTAGCTACTTTTACTTTATTTTCATTACATGAAATTGTATATAATCTGACTTTGACTTGCCAAGAATCTCTGACTTGTCTGGCATCTCTACATTTTGCGAATAATTGCGGCCGTGCCGGGATATTTTAATGATCACTAAATAAATACTTTCAAGTATCTACTATTATAAGGATTGGTAATTTGGATGTTTAACTAGCCTTAACTGTTCACTTTCATTACATGCAAATTTCTATAATTTTATTTTTGTGTTTTTTTTCTGTTTATCTGGTAGCCTTGCCATTAGTCTTTGACTTGTCTGGCATCTCTACATTTTGCGAATAATTGCGACCGGGCCGGGATATTTGGATTTGATATTGTTGTTTGTTGTGTTCAAGTCCAGCATGGACTATGATCTATTCCAGTCGGATGACGATGAAGACATACTCACTGCCTTCAATGTGGCAACACAGAGACTACAACAGGAGACTCCCAGCCACCAAATGGAGCTGGACAAACAGAATGGCGAAGACGATGATGACGATGACGATGATGGCTTGGACATCTTGCCCGAGTTCAACTGCACTGGTCGCGACACACCAAAAGCCAACAGCTACCCAAGGGCGGGATTTGTTCGCAATGGCTTCACGCATCATGATCATCCCCCATACAGCAAATGGGAGCAAATATGCTCGGACTTTAACAAGGAACAGCTGCAGGTCGCCGCGGTGACACAATACCTCTACAATGAGGCTTGGTGAGTGGCTGCCGCAACCAGAAGCGTGATCCTCGATAATCTAGAGTATTCGTGCATGATTTAGTAAGAATATCCAGAAGCTATTTGCCGCCGTGGCCGGACAGCAGCAGCTGCAGGCGCCCACAACTTTGAGCAACTCAATTTGGTACAAAACACGTCAGCAGGTGACCCAGTTCTACCATTTGCTACTGCGCATACACGATGAACACATCTGCATGGAAACCACACGCTTTCTAGAGGATCTGCGCCAGCTGCTCAACAATCTGCTGGATGCCGAAGCCTGGAAGGTTCTGTACTTTGCGGAGCACAGCAAGGGCAACGACTGCCAGGCGCCCGCCTATCATCTGTATCACGGTGTTCTAGAGTGGCGCTTCCTTGACCTGATCCTGCTCAGCGGCGCTGACGCACCTCAGACGCTGCTGCTGAGCCAGCTGGAGCGTACGCTGGACGATTTGGTGCTGTGTGCCAGCCATCATTATCGCAGCAAGCATCGACCCGAGCTCATACACACCTCCGCCTTCATGTGTCGCTGCACCAAGGAGCTCTGGCTGCTGCTCGCCCAGCTGGCACCCAAGTGGCTGCATCAGAGTCAGCTGGATATCTGGGAGCTGTTCCACAAGGCCATGAAAGGCCACAGAACGAACGAAGCCGACAGCAATGCCGCTTCGCTGGCCTTCCACGAGTTTTACGCCTGGCTGAGGCTCAGCCTGGCCCGCCTCTGCGATGACACGGATAACGAGAGCCTTGGGGCGGCAAACTTTCAAACTGGCAGCCTGCTGAAGCAGTTCCTGTACAGTCAGCCGGATGAGCAGCAGCGTCGTGTGTACCTCTGCCTGCTGGCCCCACTGGAACTGCAACGCGGTCGCTCCGATCCCGATGTGCTCTGCCAGCTGTGGGAGTACCTGCATCGCTCGCTCAACTGCAACTTCAATGCGGGCACAGAACAGCTGGAACAGCTGCCGCTCACCTGCCCCAGCGGTGCGGCGTATGTGGAGCGCTACAGCAAGCTGCTGGCCCGCGATCAGCTGGAGGATCTCAATCTCAGCAGCTTCACCATGTACGCCTGGCTGCTGGGCCGCACGCTGAAGCTTCTGCCCGCCCAGCAGCAGCAGGGCAGGGGCAACCAGCGACAGAAGCTGCTCGGGCGCATCTTCAGCAAGTTCAGTGCTGCGAAGCTGTTGGCCCTCAATGAGCCGGGCATACACCATGTGATAGAGCTGTTCCTCTGCCTGCTGCTCTCGCACGAGGATCTCACCGAGCTGGCGCCCAAGCTGCGGGAGATGCTGCTGTGCCTTGCCCTGGAGAAACTGCCGCCGGTTCGTCGCATTTTGGTGGCCAAGGGACACATGGCCCTGCTGCTGCTGCATGCACGGCATCGCCTTGCCATGGATGATTATGTGGCGAAGCTGCTCGGCCAGCTGTCAGCCATACGGAATGATGTGGAAGTGGCTGCCATATTCGTGGGCAGCCTCCAGTCCGTGTTCGACCTTGCCGATGACTTTGCGCGTGGCGAGCAGCTGCTGCTGGGCCCCTGGCTGACGCACTACGTCGAGAAGTGCGGCCAGGCATCGCAGGATCGTGTCTGGCAGGCACTGCACTCGCTGATCCAGCGGCTGGGCGAACCGAGAGCCATCTCTGGCAATGCCAGCGGCATGAAGGAGGCGCTCCAGCAGCATATTCTGCCCCTGCTGCGGACACAGTACGTCGCTGGACACAGCACTTGGCTGCCGCGGCTGGCGGCTGAATTCGTCGGCCTCGACAAGGAGCGGGAGAAGCTTATGGTGAATTTTTTGCAGGGTCCCGAACCCGCGAACATGGCTGCCTCGGCCCAACTGATTGTCCATCTGCTGGAGGAGAGAAGCAGCCAAGCACCGGCACCGTCACCGTCACCGTCGAGTGCCATTATCCTGCAGGTGTGGATCAAATCTCTGGTGCTGCTCACCGCCCAGCACGAGTCTGTGGCGTCGCTTACCGGCCATGTGGTGCAGCTGGAGGAGTTCCAGCAGCTGGCCATAGATCCCGCCTCGTTGGCGGGTCGCGAGCCGCTCTGCGCTTTCTTCGGCGCCCTCGGGCGACGTGCCCAGCAGGGGGATGCCCGCATTCGCATGCAGCTGAGCCACCGGCTGCACGCGTACGTGAATCACTTTGAGTTGTGGCTGCCGCCGGATCGGCTGCGCTCTGAGCTCGGCTCTCGCTTCTACAGCTTCCTAGCCATCGTCATCTACAATTGCCCGAGCCTCGCGTATGTGCGCTCGAAGCCCAGCTGCTTCTTCCACCTGTCCATGGTGCGGTTCCTGCTGACGACACAGCTGCAGGCGGGCGTGACGCCCGAGGGTCGACTGCCCCAGCTGGTGCACAAGATCTTTCCCGTGCTGCTGCAGGGCATCGGTCGGCTGCCCTATCGCACGGACGCCTATCTGGGCAAGACGCTGGAGCAGCTCATACTCCACTGGACGCCGCACTTTAGCTTCTCCCCCAATGCCAAGCTGGTGGCTCGTCCCTACACGACGCTGCTCCACGCCGATGCCGGCGGCGATGACGGGGAACTCTCACAGTTTGTGCTGCAGCAGCTGGTGGGCCACTTTCTGGTCGTTGTGCGCCGCAAGGCGGGCAACCATTCGGGTCTCGTAATCACTCTGCTGCAGCAGATGGTCGAGAGCATCGCTGCCGATCAAGAGCAGCAGCTGCTCAGCCTGCTGCGTGCCGTGCACACACCCCTGCTGGAGCACGTCATGTTTGTGGATGAGCTGGAGCACAGTCGGGGCCAGGTGCTGTCGCTGCATCGCCTCATTGTGTCGCACGATTGCTTCCGACGCTCACAGCCAGCGAGGGAGCTGTGCCTCAGCAATCTGCGCTCTCTGGCCGACAAGCACTTGGCCCACTGCACATATTTCTACTTCCAAATGCTCATCAAGCTGGCGGAACAATCGCCGGAGCTGCTCACGCCGCTGCTGCCCTATGTGCGGGAGCAGGCCAGGCTGGTGGAGCTGAAACGCGGCGCTGGCGAGGATGTGGGCATACGCAAGTGCCTGCAGCGACTCGAGCAGGTGTTGCCAGGGTAGCATAAGCCTCTGCAAAATAAATACAAGCCACACACACACACAAGGTCCTTGGAGGGAAGGCAATTCGGTTTACTTGGGAGACTTTTAGACAACATTTTTGGCTGGACGGGGTATCCGATTGGTTAGATGCTTGACGGGCATGAAGCCGGTGTCGCCGAGGTACTTGATGGACACATTGCCCGACGGGCTGATGGTCAGCCAGGTGATGGACGCATGATTGATGTTGATGCGCAGCCAGGCCTCCGGCGGGAACTGCAGGGCGCGACACACAAAGTAACGAATCACATTGCCATGGCCCACAATGAGGGTGTGGCTGTCCTTGGTCTGGTCGGGATGGGCACGGTAGAAGTAGCGTCGGAAGGCGGCCTCGATGCGGGCACCGTCCCTGAAGAACTGCTGCAGTGTCAGTGAGGATTGTGGTACATAAAATTGAAGTCAATGCCCGCACGCAGATGAAACTTACCGACGCTTCCGGTTTCCAGTGGCCAACTGGCGGCTGTGGCGGTATCGGTGCACCCTCGCGCAGGAACGCGCAATTCTTCACCTTCGTTTTCTCGTAGTCAATCTCGTTGAGTATGATGTCCGCCGTCTCCTGGGCGCGCACCATTGTCGAGGCAATCACTTTGTCCCACTTGATGCCCAGCTCTTGCAGTCGCTGTCCGGTGTACTTGGCCTGTTCCCGCCCACGGTCGGTGAGATGATGCGTTTCGTCGGTGTCCCCCACGTCGAGGTACTCGCCGTGACGAATGAGTATTATGTGGCGGGCATGTTTGGGCACCACCTTCTCCAGTTCGGTGTTGTAGCGATTCTGCTCCTGGGACAGATCGTTCTTCACCGGCTTCACCAGGCTCTTGGGGTCGCGCAGATCCCAATTGTTGTCCCACAATGCACACGCATCCACCGGCTTCTCGCTCCTTGTCCACGAATTGTGCACCGCCGCCTTGGGCTCATTCAGTTTTGTGAGGTAGAAGGTCGCCAGACCGGCCCCAGTGCCGCATGCAAAGGCTGTGAATTTTCGCATTATTGCTGATTGATTGTCTTGATGATCGTGATGAGTGCAAATTCTTTGTGATCTTGTTTTTTCTCTTGGTTTTCTTCTTTTTTTTTATCCCACTCTTTAAACATTAGATATATATGCGCAATGTGTGCCGACATTTTGTCGACATCGGCGAGCGGTCACATTGCGCGCCCAGTGCTCTATAGCGCCAATAATTCAAACGGTATAATACTTGTGTCTACATGTATTTGTATGCTAACTGTATTTAAATATATGCAGGTGTATTTATGTAAATGTATGTACGAGTATATATGTATGTATTTATTTGTATAATTTACCGCCTTCTCTTTGGTCGTCCCTCTATAAATAGTCGGTATCGGGTCTGGGTCCTCTGGTCTGTCTTCAGTGTTTGTTTTCTCAGCTAATCTCAGCACTAATGGTACGTTTAACTCTAGGTTAACTAATCTTTAAACTAAACTACTGCAATTTAAAGCTGCCGCTTTAGTAGTTGCGAGTTCCTTTCCAAAACAATTCCAAGGGGTCGGGTCGGCTGCCTAGGCGCTATCTCCGGCAGCGATCACGGGTGTCGGTGTCGGTGTCGCTGTGGACTCGGGTTCGTCTTTGGCTGCCGCAGATGTTGTGTCGGCGGGACTGGGGTCTGATGGTGCTGCTGTTGCTGCCAGCTGATCCGTGCTGACAGAGCGCACAAACACGGCGGAGGCCTCAATCACAATCGTGGGCAAGGCGGCTTCTGTTTTTTCAGCCTCGGGGGAAACTGGGATGAGCTCTGCAGTAACTGGAACAGGCTTAGCCTCTGGTTGCGGCTGACTCACGGGTTCCTCTCTGACGGGCGCTGCCTGGACGGGGCTCTCCTCTGGCTTGGCAGCCTCCGGCAATGCAGGCTCCGTGACTGTCACAGCCGGCGTAGACTCCGGGATTGATGCTGACACTTGAGCTGGAGCTGCGGCTGGTGCTGAGGCCGCTGGAACAGCTTCCGGAGCAGCAGCATGTGGTGGCTTGCTCTCTCCAGCGGCCGCTGGGCTTACCGCCGGCGATGGGGATTTCGCTTTTGCTTTCGACTTGACTGCCGGCGACGGGGTTCGCGCCTTCAGATTCTGCTCGTGGGCGCTGCGATCGAGCAGCACCGATGTGGACTGAGGCGGGGCCGGACTCGCCGCGCGCTTGATCTCCTCGATCTTGGCCTCCATCTCGCTGCGAATCTCCCTGATGGGCTTCAGCAGGAATATGGGCACATTGTCGTCGCGGCGCTGGTACAACATCTCGCCCTCGAACTCCACCAACTTGTGCTTGCGGGCACGCAGCAAAATGCCCACCACCTTGTCCGAAATGTAGTTGTAGATCTACAGCAGGGAAAGGGAGAGGGAGTTCAACAAGTGACTGCCGAAATTTAGAGGCTGGAGCTTACATTGAACAACTCGCCGAAGGGAATCACACGCATGCCTTGCTCATCTTTTACGTCGTAGCCCTCCGAATTGATGATCTGGCATAGCTCCAGCATTTCCTTCATCACGTGCATGTTGGCCTTCTGGCCGCGTGCCTCTGTCATACTGCCGGCCAGAGGTTTGCCGTACTGGTCCTTGGAGAAGGTTGGCTTCGGCGATGAGGCGCGTCCATCCTGCGAGAAGGGATTCAATAACTGCGACTGCTTGTGCTGCGTCGCCTGATTGTTGAACATGGCCACTTTGGAGGAGAGCGGCGAGTCCTGCAAGAGATAAGACACAAGTTAATTGAGTTTATTGTTTATTCCACTTTTCACTCCTAAAGGGAAGCCAAACAGATTAAACCGCCGCCCTGCCGCTCTTTTTGTTCAAGCAGTCAGCGCTGCCACCCTGTCTGCAGGTTGTTCTTACGCGCTGCCAGACACTTGCATTTTGGCTACAATTAAGTAGCTGTAACAACATTTTGGCTTTGAATTAATTAGCCATAATTAGGAAACACACATTTTGTGTAATTTTTCATCCAACAAGTGAAGAAGGCCAGCCAGAAGCCACAGCCAGCAGAAAGGCTAGCAACTGGCACGAAAGGAATGCGCAAATGTCGTTGTCATAAATAAAACCCACTGGCTTGGTCGGGGGCGTTCGAGGATGGCAAGGCATCTCTTTTAACGAAAAACTTAAATATTTACAGTGTATACATATATTAATACGTATGAAAAAGCACACAAAGCCAAGAGAAATTCACAAAGATTGAGTCAAGAAAAACAGGAATGACCTTCACGGGTAATTTTCGCCACTAACCGATGACCACGGACCACGGATCACCCACTGGCCTCACCACTCAGGCAACACTCAACCATCACACACAAACATCTCACGCTGTTTATTTATTGGATTATTATTTATGGCGAGAGGAATATATTTTACGAGTAGAATGGCCCGGCAGTTTTGACGGAGAGGAGGAGTCCATGATTGAGTTGCCCATGAATGAATGCGACATATCTGGCGCCTCCGCCTCCGCCTCCGCCACTGATGTTATGATACAGCCAGCCAGCCGCATAGCAGCTCTTTATATAATTTGTTTTGGCAACAACAGCGGGCCAATGACGCTCACAAATCGTCTCTTTGATCAATATCCAAAGAAAATTCTTCAATCAATGCGGTGTTTTTGTCAACCCTGCCCCCCGTCTCAGTGGGGTGTGTGTGGGTATGTATTTTCATTCATACTCAAATCGAGATACCCAAATAAATTCAGCGATGCGATGAATGAAATGCTGCAAGATGCTCTGCCAAACTGGCAGCTGACGAAAGAGTTTCATTTCCTTTTGATTCCGTAGTATAATATTATATGATCGTATGAACCCCATACCATACCATACCATACCATACCATTTGCGAATGCGAATTGAAACCTTGGGTGAAAGTCTTGGGAATAAAAAAGTGCATAAATTTGTGTATGGAAATTTTGAATTTTTCACCGCAAATATGTTGGGGCAAAATATTGTGGAAAACCACATCCATTCGCACGACCCGTCTTGGGGTGCGATTCCCAGACGATTGCGAGTGATAAAGATGAAATTTATATTATAAACAGAGCCAGGAGATGTTTGGGAATGCAATTGGGAATGGGGTGCAGAGGCAATGAACCCAAAGCCAACAACTCACTCCAGGCGGTAAACACTTGGGAAATCTATTCAAAACAAACACAAAAACTTTATGGAGAGAGTTGGGAAATACCTTGAGATTGTATTGTGGAATTTTTGGTTCTGGAATGCTTACAAACTCGAAAATCTATTGCCCAAAAAACATTCTTTGGAGAGTGAATAAAATCGAATCAAATATGTCATGGATCTCTATCAAAATAGTTAGATTATTATACATATATGTATGTATACATAGGATATTTGTGGTTGTACATATGCAGATATATGATTTTGGCTACGAGCTGCTGTTATGTTGCCAGTGGGAATGGTTGGGATGGTGGTCTGAGATCTATTTGTCGGCGCCGTTGTCACTCTTGCAAAAGTCTGCGCATTTCGACAGCAACAGCCATAGCTACATACATAAATGTATGTATATACATATGTACATATGTATGTAGATATGGCAGATATACACATATGTAGAGAAACACTCGGATATAGCCACTACTGTATCGTATGCATATTCAGCATTGCTATTTCAACCCGAGCGATGGTCATTGCCAAGAATTTTTCCGTGTTTTGATCTTCTTGCTTTTTGTTTTTTTTTTTTGCTTTTGCTTTTGCGAGCAATTTGTTCCTTTATTCCTATACTATAATATCTGCCTACTATACTATATCTTATGTATATCCTACATATTTTGGCAATTCATGTGGCGACAAATTAAAACAAATACAGAAACAGCAATACCAAATAGCAAATAGCAAATAGCAAATAGAAACAAAAGCCAAGACAATTGTTGCTCGCTTTTGCTTTGCTTTTTTTTCTCTCATTTCATTTAAATTCTTTATAACATTTCCATTTGAATATTGTTAATATTGGATGCTTTCCAGCACCCAAAAAAAACAAGCTTCTACGGCGCAAAACAAAATGGGTTTTTCATGTGACATTTTATTATTATAATTTTGCTGTTGTTTATTTGTTCATTTTTTATGCCATTTTTTTGTTTGCTTCACTTTACGCATTTCTTGTGGTTATTTTTTTTGTTGCGCATAAATTATTTTTCTGGCATTTGTCGCACGAGATATTTTATTCAAGGGACACAAAATAATTGAAAAACATTTGTGGGTTTTGTCTTTTTATAGTTTCTGTGTGAATGTGCGAAATGCCAGGAATTTTCTGTGCTTTCCCGTATGTTTTCCCCAAAGAATTTCAGCACAACTTTAAGGTGCAGGACACAGGCAGTTTTTGCTTCAATTGGAAAGTACTTACCACTACGAAGCGCAGGGCGCCCAATTCATGCGATACATCTGCCATGCTGCTGCTGACGCTGCTGCTGCTACTGCTCTGGCCTGGATCTTGCAGCTTTGTGGAGGAAAGTGTGGAAAGTTATACGCCCGATGTCAGCTTTGCGACAATTCGCAATACTTTTTGCCCGCTGGCCTGCGAACAAACAAGAAAGAGGCGAAACAATGCCAAAGACGATCATGTTGGAGGGAAAGAAATACCAATTACATTTTGTTCGCAGCCAAAGCTTCATGGACAATGGCAAATGGAAATGTGTTTCATTTTTATTAATTTTTTTTTTTTTGTTCGGGCCGCCCCCATTGTGTTGTGCAGAGTGGAGTTGGAGCCCCACAGCGTTTACTTTTCTTCTTTTTTTTGCACATTTCTTTTGTGACCCAGACCCGAGAGACGAGAGACGAGACCCCACACCCAAAACCCCACCATTAGTCGTGGCGTTGTAAAAAAAAAAAGAAAAAATTACGGAAGATGGTTAAAGCAAGAGGAAATATCAACAAAAACATGGCACAAAGCAAACGCCGCAATAGCAAGAGCCGTTAGCTTAGGTCTGAACCGAACTCTCTTTGAATGCGGTGCGGTGCGGAGCGGAGCGCATGCGCGCGACCCCGAAAGATGAACCGGAATTTGCGAGCGTTTCCCCAAGCCCCCCAACTCTACCCAACACCCAGCCCATTTCGAAATTCGAATTAACTGGAAATTAACCCGACCGAACGCTAACTGTGAGGGGGCAAAAAAAAAAAGAAAACGCCGCAGGCCAGGCCTGGCCAGGGCGAATGACCAGGTAGAGTCCTGCTGTTGTTGGGGGAATCCCCCGCATTCTTATATTCACTCACTTGCTTATTTGTTTATGTTTTATTGAATGTGCGGCTCCAAGTAGCTTCCTTTTTGGCTGGAATTCTGCTGTGCTGCTTGTCCCTTTTTGCCTTCCCTTTTTGGGTTCCTCACTCACAATGCGAAATGCAATTTCAAGTTTGCTTTCTTTTGTTTTTGGGATATTTCAAACACTTTTGCGTTTCAACAACCAAACAAAAAATGTAATTACTAAACCCGAAAATGGTCTGCCGATCGTGCAAGTTTTCCTGCTTAGATTTTTCTTTCTATGTGATTTTTCTGTGTGTGAAATTGATTTATTTTTGTGTACCACGCCGTTTGGTTGCTGCGACCAAAAGTGAGCGCTGAAAGCGAGCGCTCTTTCTTTTTATAGCCACGCCGGGACCGGACCCGACCCAGAGGCACACACAAGCACAGAGACACACATGGGGATCAACAGCAACAGCAAGAGCAGCTGCCTCTTCGTTTTGGTCTTCGTTTTCACTGCCACTTGGCTCTGGTTGCTTCTTCTTTGTCTGCCGCTTTCCTCTCTTTACTCTGCTCTCTGTGCTTTTCTTTTAATTTTAGACCAAGTTTTTGTTGTGTTTTTCTTTGTGTTGTGCACAATCAACTCTCTCAGCGGGGTCAGTGCTGGTGCTGGTGCTGGTGCTGGAGCCGGAGCCAAAGCCGGGTTATTGGTAGTTCAAAACCTGACCGTGCCAGTGCATTTCCCAGGGTCAAACCGGCCGCTACTCCGGGGGTCACGTCACTCTTCAATCAACACCAGCAACCCAAGTCGCAAGTCGCAGTTTACGCGCTTCGCTGAATCCCGACCGCAGCTCTTGGAAACATTTCCGAGAACAGCAGAAAAAGAGCCCCGCCCCAGAGAACTGGGGAGAGGAGAGGCGCACTGATGCATCGCTAGATGATTCGTTTGGTATTCGGTATGCGGCTCGGACTTTTGGCTGACATTGCTCTGTAGGGAAAAACCGGAAGCAGTTGCCAGTCCCGTTTCCCCCACCTAAAAATAGAACCAAACGACACGTTCTAGCTTCGATCAGTGGTTTCTCATTTCGATGTGGGTTCTGGCATTGGATCTGGGTCTTCTGCCAAGTGTGGAATGAAGCTTGGGCTGTCTGCGGTTTGGTGGAACAGCCGCAGCTGCAGCCGCAGCGGCAGGCGCGTGCCCAGCTGCCTTGGCTTGTCAGCTGTGGACCGCCAATTAATATTATTCATATATTGTATGATTCTATTTCGTTAATTAAACAAATTTGTTTGCATTTGCATTGTTCACTTCGCACTGTGGAGCAGCATTCGTGGCATATTGGACATTTGCAGCAACAGAATTTATCCTCATTTATGTGAGTCTCGAGATGGGCTTCCACAGGGCAACAGACAGTTGTATCAGCTACAGTTCTGCAGTGCTTATTGTTCGGGTATTGTTTGGCATGTTTGGCTGACAGCCACAAGTGCACGGACTGCAGAATGTCGACCGTTGGGTAATTATATCCAAGCATGCCAAGAAGACTCTTTGTGGGCGGTAGGCACGGTAGGGGGAGACACGTGTGTCTGTCTGTCTGTGTGCTCACCCCGTCGGATAGTGGATCGTGGATCGTGGATCGTGGATCCCACATAAATAATATCAACTCATGAATGAAAATGCGTTCGCCTGAGCAATTTCCTGTTGCACAAAAAGTGTCGCAAAATGCTTAGCATAAATTCTATGATAGATTCCGAATGGCGTTGAAAAGGTCTTTTGTCGCTGTTGGTTTATATATAGAGGCAGAGATCCTAAGAGTTCTATTCGAGCTGTTCCTTGGCAACAAGTTCCTTCACTTTATTTTAGGGGGGAGCGGGCATGCTGTGTGGCATTGTTCATTACTGGCGGGGGAAAGCCCACATCGAATAATTAATATATTATTAATTTGCAGCAAAAAAGGCGCTGCACAGCAAAACACACATGTAAGATACATTTGTACATGCATACATCAAAATGGGCAACGACACGTACCCCAAGCAAGGCGGGGAGGAGCCAGAGGCTGATGGGATGATGGATGAATCATCCTGAATGGGGTACTGCGCTCAGAACAGAACGTGACAATTGGCCATGAATGTGAATGTTAATCTATAATTACATTGTTTACATACATATTATGTACAATTTATGTACGTACATAAAATTACATTATTTACATACATTTTATGTACATCAAATATGGTTTGTTGTTTGCTCAAGTAATCTTCATCGGATATTGCCTAATTTGGACATATTTTTGTTGTTGCTTTTCGCATCTGTTTTCTGTCCATGCCGTATACGTAATGGGCAGGGAGGGTGTCTGGGAAATTGCGCATACGCAGCGAGGTTTCTTTTTTTCTTTTTTTTTGTATTATTATTATTAATATTATGATTATTATTAGTACGGTGGGTGGCTGTGGGGTTGGGCAGGGCATGCACTGTGGCGCAGAAGATGAATGCTGATGGCTCATCCTTAGATCTATATATAAAACGCAGCACTTGCTACGCTAAATATGTAAATATGTATGTAAAATGTATGTACATACAAAAGTATTTATGAATATGTATGGATAAATGTATAGATATTTATATTCTACTATATACTGAGGAGCAACCTCAGAGGCAAGTGCTGTTGACGCAAATTGTACGCTGCTGCCAAATTGTTATTATTTTTTGTTTTATTGTTCTTCCAAACTGAAGATTCGAAGGCAGCTGGCAGCTGGCAACTGGCAGCTGGCAACTGGCTCGCTGCTTGCAATCCCAATCAAAAGGATTCAGATACGCATACTGCGTATCGCCTGAACTTCGCCCTCCATTCGGCCACTTCATTGAACTGTCCGATTGGTTTCGGTTTTGTATGCGGGAGCAATGAATGCAATGAGCTATGGGGCTACAAATAAAATTGCAAAATGGAAAATGGGAAATGGGAAATGCCAATGAAATTCCAACGCACACAAATCCATTTAAATCGTAATCCGTGCACACATATCCATACTAATACATACAAATATCCACTCCACCCACGATGCTATATCCGACAGCGAAATATTGCCAGCTCTTGTAAGACATGTGTAAATATTTACGTATAGCCCGGAGAGGAGGCAGAGACAGCGACAGAGACAGCGATAGGGGCTAAGGCTGAGGCTGAATGGCGGGCGAAATGACGTCGATGTCGACGACCGACGATCGACAACGAACGGCGCAAGAATTTTGGAATTTGGCATGGTCGAAGGACGCCTACTTGTTGTTGTTGTTGTTGTTGTTGTGCGGGGCTGCCACAACTGCCGTACTCAGCGTTCAATATGTGGGCGATTCGTTTTGATTGGTGTACGGATTTTGGCTCTGGGCTCCGGCATGAATCAGCTGCTGCTGGGACTCGCCCAATGCGAAATTTCTGGCTATCTTCGAAAATGTAGTGCCCGTAAATGGAAGAAACTGCCAAATTCCAGCTGAAACATAATTAAATATATGAATAGAAATCACAGGAACACAAGTAAGTACTAACTCAGCCAGCAAGTTGCACAAGCGAAAAGTGCAAACGAGAATGCGTGAGAATGTCTGTCGTTCGAGTGATGTGTAGCCAACTCTTATGCTTATCCACGAAAAGTGCAAACGAGAATGCGTGAGAATGTCTGTCGTTCGAGTGATGTGTAGCCAACTCTTATGCTTATCCACAGCCAGAAATCTAAATAAAAAATATACATATTATTCATTATTAATTAATTATTTAAACTCCAGTTACTGATACAGCAAACACTCTTGGTGGCATTGTCCAGTCGTCATCCGCTTTTGGGTGCCGCCATGCATTCAAGTAACACTCCAGAATCTCGATCACAGATCGACCAGTCACTCTTAGTTTGCTGAAAATTGGCAATGACATTTCGTGTCGAGACAGAGGGGAGATAATGGGTACAAGCAAACCCCAAACGAACCGCCACAAACCGATCGAAACAATCCGTTTTGATGGTTCGAGCATTCCGGCATTTTGTGTGTTTACATTGGGTGTGGGTGGGTCAGCTCCTGGACCACAACTCATGCGCACCTGACGTCACAGACAACAGATGGCTAGATCTATTTTCGATCCAATGTTCTAATTTTAGACCAAAACAAAAAAAGAAGCCAACGATGAACAGCGTCGTTGAATGGTAAAATGTGCTAAAAACAAGCAACCATGACGACAATTTGAACTTGAAACTTGTGGGTTTTAGGGGATTGGGGATTCGAGAATGTTTTTCTCGTCCATTGATAAGCCCAGAGCAGAGCTCAGATCTACTCTGAGCGACTGCTGCTGCGAGCCTTCCTTATCTATGGTAGCTCGCCGGCTAAAGGCAAACAGTTCAACGCGCAGCTTCATCTTGGCTGGACGATGTGGCTCTCGTTAGTGTTGGGTGCCGTGGGCACAGTCCTGACCCTCAGTCTGTTTACATGGCTGCCGCTTTGTCGCCGCAG